ATGCTGACTTCAATATCTCCTTCCTGAGCTGTACCTGCCAGCAGATGCAGCTGTAACTGTTCCAGCTGCATTGGTGGTGGCACTTGTCAGTAGGTTTAAAGTCATTAAAGAACTTGGGAAAGATATACAGAAATGCAACAGGCTATCCTGAGGGATTTCTTTACTATGTGACAGCTACATGACAGCAGTAGTCAAAAAACAGAATTGTGGTCTTAAAAACAGTTCAGTAGTTACAAAGAAGCTTCTGAAAGTATGAAATAAGTATTTGACCTCCTCCTTTGCTAAGGTTTAAATTCTTCAGTATGCTGCCACTGAGAAGACAATCAAGATTAAGCTGTTGACTCCTGTTCAGTTGGGAGAAAAGATGTGTCAGGAGGTCAGTGGTGGTGCAGGCAGGTGTAGAAGAGGAGGCTTAGGTGTTGTAGGCAGAGGTTCTGGTTTTTCTCTTGCATTTATGTGGTTTCTTTAAGCCTAGTCTGTTTAATGTATAGTAGGCTTTTGCAATTACTTTTATCACGTACTGGCAAAATATGGTCTACTTGGACATTGGTACTCTTATCTAGATTATCCTGGCAGTGTTTCCTTTGGAAACATCAAATAAGTAAGTGCTGGAAATATATCTTAAATGTTTTGTGTACATTTCTCCTAAGGCCTAGTTGAGAGAAGAATAAATTAGTTACAATCTGCTACATGGTTATTAGCCTTGTTTGTACCTACCAAATGCCATGGATATGAAAATATTGAAGGAATGTGTACATAGACAGTGATTTACATACAGGTAGAAAGAGTGCAGAGCTTTTACCTGAAGACCTGCACATGCCATCTGATTGACACTGAATAGAACTTTTCTCATAATTGTTCTTAAAGTTATGTGTAAATCAGAATTGGACTAATGAAATTAAATTTTAAAAAATCTAGTTAAAAAATATGGAAAGCTTTGGGCTGGATATTGGTACTTTTGTTTTTTTGGCTATAGGATTGCTTGAGTATCCAAACAGGGTAGCAAAGGTTGGCATTCTTCGGTGGAGTATGTATGATGTTCTAGGTTAAAGAAGGTGTATGTATAGGTATATCCTTTTTTTTACATTGAACCTATGCATATAAATGCTTCTCTCCAAGTAGTCTTTCATCAATGTTGTTCTTTAAAGGTACATATAATTTAAGTTAACCCAGTTCTAAGTATTAAATTGCTATCTGAAAACTGGTAACGAGGTGGGTTTATTTTTTCTTAATCATCAAATTTATTAGGTGGAAATGACTTGATGAAACATCATTAATGAAAAAAGACAAACATATACAAATTATGTCACTGAGATATATTTGCGTCTTTTTCCAATTTAAAGGGCAGTGAGAGTTTTTAAATGCAACAAACGTAGTGAATTTGCCTGTGGTAGCAAAGGTTCCTCCCAAAAAGGCATGAAATAGCAGAGTTTGAGTAAGATAACAGAAGATGATAGAATCACAGAATGGTTTTGGTTGGGAGAGACCTTAAAGTTCATCTAGTTACAACCCTCCTGCCCTGGGAGTGACACGGTCCACTAGATCAGGTTGCTGGTCAAAGCCCCATCCAACCTCGCTTTGAATGATTTCCAGGGATGGGGCATCCACACCTTCTTTGGGCAACCTGTTCCAGTGCCTCGTGGCTCTCACAGTAAAGAATTTCTTCCTAATATTTAATCTAAACCCACCCTCCTTCAGCTTAAGGCCATTCCTCCTTGTCCACTCTCTACATGCCCTTATCAAAACTCCCTCTTTGGTTTTCTTATAGCCCCCCTTTAGGTACTTGGAGGTATTCTAAGGTCTTCCTGGAGCCTTCTCTTCTCTATGCTGAATAGCCCTAGCTCTCTTAACCTGTGTTCATGGCAGAGGTGCTCCAGCCCTCTGAGCATCTTTGCGGCCTCCTCTGGACCTGTTCCAGTAGGTTCACATCCTTATTATGTCGAGGGCCCCAGAGCTGGGCACAGCACTCCAGGTGGGGTCTCATGAGAGCAGAGTAGAGGAGGAGAATCACCTCCCCTGACCTGCTGGCCACGCTGCTTTTGATACAGCCCAGGATGCCGTTAGCTTTTTGAGTTGCCAGCACACATTGCCAAATCATGTTGAGCTTGCTGTCATCCAACACCCCTGAGTCCTTCTCCTCAAGGCTGTTCACAATCCGTTCTCCACCCATCCTGTATTTGTGATTAGGATTGCCCCACCCAGCTGCAGGACCTTGCACTTGGCCTTGTTGAACTTCATGAGGTTCACACGGGCCCACCTCTGTCCTGTCAAGGTCCCTCTGAATGACATCCCTTCCCTCCAGCGTGCCAATTACACCACACCTGGTGTCATCCACAAACTTGCTGAGAGTGCACTCAATCCCCCTGTTCATGTCCCTGACAAAGATATTAAACAGTGCCAGTCCCAGTACCAACCCCTGAGGAATGTCGCTCATCACTGGTCTCCTCTTGGACATTGAGCCGTTGACTGCAACTCTTCGAGTGCAAACATCCAGTCAATTCCTTACCCACTGAGTGATTCATCCATCAAATCCGTGTGTCTCCAGTTTAGAGACAAGAATATTATGCAGGACTGTGTCAAATGCTTTGCTGAAGTCTGTGTAGAGGACACCATTTGCTCTCCCCTCAGCCAGCACTGCTGGAACCCAGTCATAGAAGGCCATCAGATTTGAAAGGCAGAATTTGCCCCTAGTGAAGCCATATTGACTGTCACCAATTCCCTCCTTATTTTCCATGTGCTGTAGCATACTTTCCAGGAGGATCTGCTTTGTGATCTTGGTGAGCAAAGAGGTGAGACTGACTGGCCTGTAGTTCCCCAGTCTTCCTTATTTCTGTTTTTTTAAAATTGGGGGTTATATTTCCCCTTTTCCACTTAGTGGGAACTTCACTGGACTGTCACAACTTTTCAAATATGATGAATAGTGTCTTAGCTACTTCCTCTGCCAGTTCCCTCAGGACCTACGGACTCAAGGAAGATGAAGGATATTTTTAACCTATGAAAAGCTAAGTGCTTTCTCAAGTTTTTCTGTCTTTTAAATTTTTGTTTTATTTTGTTTTGTTTTGTTCTTTCTTGTTTTAAAATGGATTACTTCCTTCAACAGTCGACTTCCTGAAATTCTTCCTTTTTATGGAAGTTTGTTGTGGACGAAGTACTGTGCAGTGAGAGGAAGCCCAGTCAGAGTAACAAATCCTCACGTGAAACTTTTTAGAGAATTTACTTGAACAACTAAAACAAGTAAGAGTATTAGGCCTTCATTGACTAAAATTGAATGCTTAGACCATCATTTTCACCACAGAAGCATTAAATGTTGAGTACTGCTTGAAGAGGCTGATAGTTAAACACGAGGATTTTGAATAGCAAGGTATCTGAAGGTATCATCTGCAGTTTGCCTAGTTTTACTTTATGCTACATATTTTTATGTAGTATCTACATATTTTTAACTTAATTAAAAATAAAAGTGTATGTTTAAATTAAACATGAGGGTTTGCTTATTATAAGCTTTATTAATTTTATTGTCAGAGTGGGAAAAAATATATGTAGAAGCTGTTGTTTTATTTTATGAAGCCATGAGGAATGCTGTGGTTTACAGTAAGATTAGGCATGGATGTAGGAGGAGGTGAGTTGTGGTGAACCTGGCTCTTGTGTACCAGGTCTGTCCATATCCCATAAACAAGAGCTTGAAACTGCTCTGGGCTTGCTCAACCTTTCCTCTTCAGAGTTCTCCAGTGCTTTGCTGATAGCTGGATCCATGTTTGTATCTTTCCAAAGTGACACTGAGGCTAGGCTAGACCTTCCTCCTGAGCCTAAAACAGACCTGCTATGCCTCTGAGTTGGAGTAGATGAAGCAGTTCAGATGTGAGTAGGGAGGTGGGTGAGAAGTGAAAGCACAGGACACAGTAAAACAGAACAAGGTATGGAAATACTCCATGATTAGCATGTGGTCACAAGGGTGCTGTGTTACTCCTGTAAGTCGTAGAGCCTGTGGGTTTCTGAAAGGTGAGGAGTTGGCAGTACCAGTATTTTCCTGTCTGATTTTTGTGCTCAACTGGTAGGTGACATCTTACATGTGGATATACCAGTTAAACTATAATCAATTAAAACCTAAATGGCAAATTGATACTAATTTGCACCTCTGAGTTCTGCAAAAAGGATGAAGCAAGATGAAGCATAATAATAGGTGATGAATTAGCCTTTGCTTGTGTTGACAACTATTTCAATGTAATCAAGTAACACTGACTGACTGGCACTACCATTCTTACTGGACTCTGTGAGGAAGAACAGCGGCTTTCAAATTCTGTGCATGCATTTTTTATAAGCATGCTATCAAAGTAAAAATAACTATACCTCTTTATTTCACACTGGGGAGAGAGGTTCAAACCTTTAGTAAAAAGTTGAAAAATAATTTATGCTGCATGCTTAACGGTCACAGGAAATTTAGGGAACACACTGTAGTGCACTAGTGTCACATGTTACACGTCACTGGTGAGCTAATGCTCTTACCCTTTTTGCTTGCAGGTCCAGAAGCTGTAGTTTTGGGGTTAAATCTTAAGAGTTTCATAATTCATGTGGCTGTCCTGTCTGTTGTGACCCTTTCTAGCAGTGACAGTTTATTTCATTTCTGTCTACTGAAGCTCTTTAGACTGTCTTAGAAGCTTCCTAGATTCCCTTCTTACCGTGATATACTAAAATGGAGCCAAGCAGCTCCTGCCGGCAGATCATTCAGTAGCCCAGCTGTACTCACTGACATCACAAAATCATCAATGTTTTATATTCTCTTCTTAGCAGGAAGGAGCTCTTGCTGCAGTAACCCAACCAGCTCTTTTCCAAAGCATGGCCATTCTCTGCAGCTGTACCGAGCCGCTGTGCTCCCAGCAGCACCACACGGAGACAGGAGATAGGGCTGCTGCTGCCCACCAGCCACCCAGAGCCAGCAGTGGCAGTCGTACTCTGTGCTTGTACGTCTGATTCCCATTTATGAGAATGTTTACTTCTCTATATAGGTTCAAGGTGCAAGTTTCCGGGGTTGGAAGGAAGTGACGTCTATGTTCAATAAAGATGATGAACAGCAATTGCTAGCAGGATGCAAGTCTCCAAAATCCAAAGGGTAAGTAAAACCAAGTGGTCTATCTGCTATTAAAATGCACTCACTGTAACAGAAAATAGCTGTGCAAAGTAATGAAGCTAGACACTGAGAACAGTAGTGTTCAACTCCTGGAAGTCAAATCAGCAAAGAAAGGTTTAGGTGCATTTCAGAGTTATGTGTATGTTAGGCTTACAATGAATAAGGCATGCTGTATTTGGAAAGGACAGATGTTATTAACATTTTTAGGTTTGTCAGGAAGAAAAGGGAATTTAGCCACATAATATTTTTTTTACTGTAGAAAAGGAGTAAAGGCTTCTGAGTAAAAGGGTCATTCTTACCCTCTGTCTTTCCTCTTAAAGATTAATTATGGTTGAGTTTACAAATTCATTTTTTTACATGCCCTACTTTCTCTTTTGAAGTCTTACTACCCCTAAAAAGGTTAAGTGGGGTAGCTATACTAGGATCTGCAAGTCTTCCTTGTCGGAGCTGAGGTGGTTACTTGGCGCAGTTCTGCTGCTGACATGATTGGAGGTGTTCTCTGAACAGAACAGATCTCCTCCCAGAACAGACTATTTTGCTGTTACAAATATATGTAGGTTTTACCTTCATGTGCTACCTAACTACAGTGGGTACAAACCAAGCGTGCCACATATCAGTAGATCTGTTGCAGCCAAATATTAGCTTTGATAAGACTTTCTGTAGTATGCTTTGTTTCCAGTTTACTTTGAAATATATGTGTTTCAGAATGGAAGGGTATATACCTGCATGTAGGGGGTGTTTGCATATAAATAAACAACATAGAATATAAAAGCATATATTTCCATTTCCATTTGAGCCTGTTCAATAAAACTTCACAAAAGTTCCCAGCTATCTGTGTACACTTTTACGGGGTGTTACTAAGATGCTAGGCTCCTCTAATGATGCTTGCAATTGATGCTGAATATAAGAATCAAGTAACACAGTGAAGAGAGCAAAAATATTTAAACAAAGTTACCACAGATGTGGAAAGCTATTTTGGTATTATTATGAAAACTGCCTGTTTTTTAAGTTTAGGATGTTTTTCTTTAACTGTATACCACATTTTTTACTTTACTTTTAAAGAAAAATGGAACTTTTCAAGTGCACTGCTTATGAAATACAAGAAAAGTGTTTGGAGTATGTGACTGGTTTTAGCATGATGAAAATTCTGAGTAATCATAAATTCAAAATTCAGTAAAGGAAAAGTAATTTTAAAGGTATTGATTTAGTTGCTTCTATTTAAATATGAGGGAGCAAAGATTTCATGGATGGAAAAAAGCTCTTTTAATAGAAATATTAGAAAAAGATTTAGTGGTGGGTTTAGTTGTGGCTAAGGAATTTATATGCTACTAGTGGATAATGTTTTCAATTTGCTGTTTAGCTCATTGAACCCTGAAGGTTGTGTGTTTCACCACTGGTGTTCAGCCTATCCTTGTGGCCCATTATATGATTACGTACATAACCCTTCACAGAAAATTAACTGTAAACATTTGACATTTCTGTAATTTAAATATTCCGGCTGCAAATATGAAATTATTAAGACTGAAGATTCTTAATGGGATAAGAAAAGTAATATGAGTAGCCTTACAAATGTCTCTTTGAGAGAGAAGTTACAGTAAAGGTTGTTATTTCTTGGGTTTGGGAGGGGGATTTTGGGAGTTCTTACCAGAAGTACAAAACAGCTGTTTTCACAATATTGTGTAGATAAAGCTGGTATCTTTAAAGTCCTAATACTGTCCTAACAGTACATCAACTATTTTAGGGTATAAGGTTTAACTGGCAAGGGGGAGACAGGAATATGAAACTGAGGGACATAGTGAGTGAGTGTTAAAGCTGGTGTTAGAAAGGACATTTTCATATTCTTTCTATTAGCCTACCTCTGGAGATTTTTTTTTTTGTTTGTTTTTTGTTTATTTGTTTTGTACTGTTTTTTGTTAAAGTCCTAAATAGTTATAATGCATCCTAAAATACTTGGTACATTTCCAAAGGCAGTTCTGTGTAATTCACCCCTGGGGGGTGTTGGTGGGGGTGATGGTATGTATGTAAGTTCTTTTATAATAGGAAATGACCATACTCAGTCCTCCTCTGATTTATCACTGCAAGATTCTGCTGTGTTTAGGCTTACATGCATATGATGGTGTTTTTCCTGAAGTTGACAGTAATGGATGATTAGACAACTCATTAGCATCCCTGACTGTAAAATATATAAATTAATTGAATGCTTATTAATAACTACTGCATACATTGTAAAATGAAGAAATTTATCACTGCACTGTTGTTTTTTTGTAGAACAAATCTAAAGTTAAAGGAAGAGATGAAGTCTGAAAAGAAGCCAGGTTTTTGGGACAGTTTGGTGATAAAGCAGAATGTTCCACCTAGGAAACCAGATGAGATTGAGGGATGGGAACCACCACAGATTAGCACTGCTGACTCTACCAGCAATGCAGCAACTCCTTTAAGTGACTATGCAGCCTGGTCAGGCTGGGAAGATGAAACCAAAGGCTCCACAAAATACACAAACCTGGCCAGCTCAGGAAACAGTTCCCGGTGGAGTATCAAATCAGCTGGAAAGCTGGTTAGTATTAGACGTCAAAGCAAAGGTAACCTTACTGACAACTGGGAAGAGCTAGAATGATACTGGTAACGTGAAATACTTTATAGATAAGAAGAGAAAGATTCCATGATTTACTCATATGTTTAAACCAAAATCAAATCTGCTCGATCTTGCACCTTTATACAGTACTTTGTTTTATTCAGATTGTTACAAATTTTTGCTCACCTGATAGTAAATTTTCTTATTACATTGTTAAATAGCTATGTTTTCCACTCTGAAAAAAAAGTAGAGAATCTATTTTGTGCCTATATTTCACATTCAGACTTTGCAGTATGTTGGATTGTTGGTTTTACCAAAAAAAAAGTAATTCCTTAGTGAATGTATACACTGGTTGTAAATTTGACTGCCTTATGTAGGAAGTTCCACTAGCTCGAGTCCTGTTCTTTTCTGATGTTTGAGGGTCACTCAAAATTTTGGTTTTGATGCTGTCCCTTTTTAACCAAGAATACTGACCTGTTGCTTGCAGGGAGAATGCTTGTACTTAGCAGACTGTTTTCCAAATCTTCAGCCTCAGCATATGCTTCAGCTTGTGCACACAAGATGCTTACTGTCACAATGTGCTATACTGTGTATGAAGTGGGAAAATACTATTCTAATGTAGTTCCTTCCATTAGAATAATGTCACCAATAGTCAGGTCAAATGGGTCTTCCAGAATTTGGGGGGGGATTTTGGTGGGTTTTTTTCCTGTTTGTTTGGGGGGGGGGAGTGAGCATTTGGGGTTTTTTCTGGTTTGTTTGTTTTGGGGTTTTTGTTTGTTTTTGGTTTGGTTTGGTTTTGGGGTTTTTTTGTGTTGGGTTTTGGTGGGGTTTTTGTTTGTTTTGGGGGTGGTTTTGGTTTGGTTTTTGCTTTTCTTTTAATATTGAATTATTTTTTTCGACAATTCTAAGTTTTTCAGTTTTTAAGATGCATGTTATGCCAAAAATAAAAATGATTGAAAATTTGGAAAGCGGCAGTGAGTAGAGCATAAGATGATCTTGATATTCTGGGGGGATATTGCATCTGGATCTAGGTATAAGTTGCTTCTTATGGAAGGGCATATGTTCTCATTTTTTTACAATAGCTGATCCTTGTTCTAGACACAACTTTTTTGTTTTTTGCTGTGTTGTTCTTTCCCCCCCTCCCCCCCTGCCCCATAAGCAATGACGGAATTATACTCTGGCATTTTCAGGGTAGCAGAGTAACTGAGCCATTGCAAGTGTGTGCATACACACAACTTCTGAAGCATTTTTGTTATAAAGCTCCGCTTTATTAGCTACTGATATTTTGATTTTTTTGGTAAAAGTAGGTGAAGTGTTAAACTTGAGATTTGAAATGTATATATGACTAATAAAAGTGCCTCTTTTTAGCTTATTGTCTCTCATTAGCGGTGCAGCTGATGCCAGATCCAAAGTTGGTTTCTATTTTGTTTATATGATCCACATAAATGCTACTTTAACATTCATGGGTAAGAATCAAACCAAAAGTTTCATAGGAAATGAACAGTAGGCCTTTTCTCTCCTGATTGTTCAACTGAACTGAAAACTTGACTGCCTAGCAATATGGCCAGTACAGTTGGAAGATCAAGCTAGCATGTCAGAGAAAATCAGCATTTTTACAAGAAACTATATACCTTTATATAACAGATGTCTTGTAAACATATTTTTGCAAGAAGCTTATGCTGATGGAAAGGGATGCATGCCATTTTTTTCTAAGCTTGTACCTTGTTTCTGTTACTGCCACATTACTCCTTCCTTAGCTCTCTCTTTCTCCTCCCTCCAATTCATGTAGAGTTTTCTGGCTTACAGTTCCTACATAGCTATTTTTTGGAGATTCCTGCTGAGATGTGCCTGAAGGGAAACTGTAACAAAATGGTTTGGGTTGTTTTTTTTTTTTCCTGCTATTAATAGGATATTAAAAGACATTGTTCTTAAGTTTATATAAAAGAACATTGATTTTTTTCTGCTACAAAACCGGATCTTGCAACAACTGGCAAATATATTTGTAAAACTGGCATTAGTTATTGAAAAAATACTAATAGAGAAAAGGTTAGCATTTATATTGCATCATTTAGTCTGTGAGTAAACTCTGTATTTGCCTTGGGCAAATACATACACTGAGGTTAATTATAGGAAAGAGTTAGTATTCTTGGGTAAAGTATGCTGCATTTTATAGTTTATGGAATACCCTTTAAGGCATGAGCTAGTATTTAGTTTGGTTGTTGGTGCTGACTTAAAAGAACAGAAAAAGATCTGTTAGCAGCTCTTAAAGATGGGCTGAGAACTTTTAATTTCACTCCTGAAGAAACTGTTTATACTGTGACCAGTAAAGATTTTGCCTTGCACATTATACTGTCAAGTGCCTGTTTCTCACCTTGATGACGTGTTTGATGCACAGCTTAACTGCAACCTTTTTCAATTTGTTTTTAGATGTATGATAAAGAATATGCTCACAAATCTGAAGCCTATTATAAAACAAAATTGCATCCAAGTGGGAAATTGAGATATGTAAAATTTCAGTTTCATTCCTAGTGATGAAAGTTTTGGTGTGCTTTTTAAGTGGTATTTCCTCAGAAATAACCATTCTAAGGATCAATGTTATCAAATTTAATATAATTTATTGTTATGCTTTAATAATCTATTTGTCTGTTAAGAACTCACGGTGTGAGCTTTCCTTCTCTTATGTTTATAAATGTGTCTGAATTTTCAGAATGGGGTCCTTTCTTCTTTTACCTTCATTAGATGCTTAACTACATTATACATTTATGGGCTTAAGCTATCCACAGCTCCATATGTGGAATAAATGTAGAATATGTTCCTTAAAATTTGTTTTGAAATTGCATTTCAAATTGTGTGAAATGGTTTAGAAGAAGGTAGCATTAAGATTGTACGATAAGATTGCACAAAATAAAATATAGTTTATATTGCTTTCTCGTAGCCAATCTGCATGATTGTTGGCGTGGTTTTAATGGGAATTAAAAGCTTCGTGTGGCTGTTACTAGTCACTTAACTGAGCAAAGTTCTTTCTGAGTATTTTTATTTATTAGTATCATTTGCAAAAAAAGAAAAGTAGTATTTTCCATATGAATAAAGATTTAGTTTGAACTGAAATGCCTCGTTCTCTGACATTTTTTTGGTTCCATTTTATTTGTCATGTGAGTTTGTTTCTATCTGTGTGGACGTTACTTGTATCATTGTAGAGGGTGGCCAAGGAAGTGACAGTGATGTTTGTCCAAACTCTGTGAATCATGCCATCTCGGAAGCTGCAGCATCCTAGATTTAAAGCATCCCACATTGCTTTCACAGTGGGAAGAATTAACTGGTTTTAGCAAACTACAAATATTTTGCTTTACTGGTATTTGATTTAAACTTTTTGTTTTGTTTTGTTTTGTTTTTTAATTTATTGGCTGTTATGAAAGCTTGGGCAGAGCAGCATTCTTTCCCTAAATATTTCACCAGCTACATGTAAACTGGAGGACCTGGAATGCTTTTGCACACACTGGCCCCATAACGAGGTGAGACCTGCACATCCTGGACTGCGACACGTGAGGTGCAGCCACTGATACCAGTGGATCAGCTACAGAGGGAAGTGTATTGTCAGCCTCTCGTTCTTCCACTCTTTGCTGGCTTTGTGGTTGCCTACATAGACTTAGCAGGGAACATTTAGGCAAGATGTTTCATGTTGTAGCGTGGGGACTAGGCAGAACAGAAAATTTTATTCATAAAAGTTGCATTCTTACGGGAAGGAAATCCTGTACTGAGATGGCTCTGACTAGACCCAGGTGGGTCAGGTGCACATCAAGGCAGGTGAAAGGGAGTGGAGGGACCTGCATTTCCAGACCTGGGGTAGACAAGGACCCTGCCAAATTTTGAGCACAGATGTTCCCACAGCCCAGGTGAATTCAGCCTGGCATCTGTCTCATTTCCAAAACTTTTTGAAATGCTTGTTAATGTATGGGGATGTTAGATGACAAAACTGTAGGTCCTATCTCTGTGCAATTTGAAAACATGAATGTGCATGTTATTTAGCTGTTTCTTGCATATCTAAACTGTTCTTGCTAAATTTATTTTTTTTTCCTGAGTGCCTGCTAGTTTGTTTCTGATGTATCAGGGAAATGAAACCACTACTGAGAAGAAGAAAAATAATTTCCAAAAAGGCTTAGTCACTGGTGATAGTTTGCAAAGACGTGTATCATTAGATGTCTGTCAGACTCTCAAAAATTTGTTATGGAGTGACTGCTTTGTACTGTACAAGATAGGAAATCAGATATATAGGCAACAAATCCAGTTTAGAAATTGAAAGAAGAGAATTACATTTATTGTAAGTGCAACCACTAAAATAGCAGAAAATAATGCTTCTTCTGTAGTTACAAAGCAATAAAGAATATGAAAACAATCAGAAAATAGGACTATAAATAATAGAAAATTTTATGGAATATATAATAGCAAACAAAGTGTAGGGAGAAGATGGTTTTTCAAATGATATTTACCAACAGTTATCACAGGTAATGAAAAAAGAAATACCTGCTCTATATTTGGGAAGAAATTTTTCCTATTCTGTGTCTAGTATTTACTAAAAGATGCAAGAAAGTGGGTATATTCTTTTCAAGTCCAAAATAATCTGGTAAAAGCTTGGCTGGCACTTAAAGTTTTATGCTGTTGAGACCCAAATAACACTAGTGGAAGCTTAATAACACATTTTGAACTGTGAGTTTGCTATTGAAAAAGAATTACGCTCTGCAGAGAAAAACTCACAGCTGTATTTTCTAAGATGGGTTTGTCCACTGCTGAAAATAACCATGTGATGTTTTGCTTTCCAGTTGCTCCAAGCTCTTGTACTGAGGAGACCACCTGAACAGCTAAGTAATTTTTCAGAGAATTGGCTGGTTTAATTATTTGAGTTTGTGTGGCAAAACAGGTCAGATTCATTCCTTTAAGTTGCCAATGTCTTTTGGCCTTTCTTGTCTTCTACCTTTTTCCTTGAAACCCCCGAATGCTATTGACTTGACCATCTTGTTTGTCCAGGAGTCATGGATTCTCCACAAGGTCACACTGCTAAATACTTCTGGTATCTGAGGGACAGAGGAAACACTGGTGCATGTGTTTGGGCTGGAGAAAGGGAGACCAATGTATCATGAGACCAAGTACTGCACTTGGCACATTATTTTTTTCTGCCAAAGTTTTCTAATGTGCAAGATGATTAATATTAATTATTCTTTGATTCATTTTATTTTTGTACTTGTCCCATATTAGCTTTTTTTGGGGGGGGGAGTCACACATGCAAAAACATCCTGATTACATGAAGACCTACTCTCTGCTATTTCTTGCATGACTGACACCCCCTTTTTAGTCTGACTTGCCTCAGTTAGTGCCTGTAAACAGTTTATCTTTTGAACATTTGGACAGAAACTTGGCAACCAACATTTGATAGGAAAAACAAAGGAAAACAAGTCAAGCATCATTTCCCATTAGGAAGTAAACCATTGTTTGATAGGATGGAGCACGAGATTCCCAGAAGTCCTACTACATATAGAATAACACTGCACTTTAGGGTTATCTTGAAAATTAAGAGACTTAATGAAATATATACTTGCTCTTTTTTTTTTCCGTTTTATAAACTCATGTATCTCCTGAAGAGTATCAACCTGTCTGCAGAGCATGGCTGTCCTGCTGTGCCCTGCAGGAGAGCGAGTGTGAGTTGACCAAACTGTTGTAGCCAAGGTGGATGGGCCTGTTGGCAGCTGAAGACACGATGGAAAGTCTGAGTTCCTGACCTGTGCCGTGAGAACTGGCTGCACTGGGGATGGGGGAAGGTTTTCAAGACATATAAAGGAGCATCAAGGCATGAAGCACACTATAAAGAGAAGTCCAGAACATCTGAGAATGTTCCTAGGGGTGTTAGTATCAATATTTACTAATAAGCCAGGGTTTTAGTGTTGGAGAATCAGAACTAACACACAGACAGTCCTCTTTCCTGGTGTTTTTTCCTCATTATCCTATTCAAGACCAGGATTTTTGGCTGTGATGAGCAATTGAAAAGAATGTTCCATGTGCACAGGTACAAACAAAGTTCTGGATGCTTGTAACATCAGTGCTCTAACTTGCAGCAAACACTTCTCCAGATCTATATCATACTACTATGCCTATAAATTTAGCTTAATTGACCAAAAATGTAGAAGGTGAGTGCAGGTGGTAGAAGACTGTACCCTTAAACAAAGGATCAGCCGAAGGCATATGGCCAGCTTGCAGCAGGAACTTAAGTGGTGGTGTGATTAATTTATTGAAGTTTTAGTTGAACTGAACAGCTCCATCTAGTATCCTGATTCTTCAAATACTGTACTTTCAGCCTCCTCCCATTCTCTGCTCTTTTACCAGATTTCTGAGATCTCTTAAGATCTTTCTCCATCCTTCCCTTTCTTCTCTGAGATCCCTGATGATTCCACTTTAGTATCAGGATACTTTTTTCCCTTTTTAGTGGATGAATGTATTTGGTCTACCTGAGACGGGGTTCAAAGTTACAGAGTGGGAAATGCTACTGCTGGAGCTGCTGCATTATGGTCATGAAAATGTAATGAAAAGTATTGCTTTTATAAATTCACCAAGTTCTAAAGGGATACCATTGAATTAAGAAGGTGAGTACAGGTATCCAGCTTTAAAAGTCAACAGTAGGAAAAAAGCTAAAAATAACTGCTATGTCTGAAGAATAACGGGGACCAAAACATTGTGAAGAGGTGCTCCCAGCATGCAGAACTTTGTTCCATAATCTAAGCATTGTGTGGGGATGACAGCTGATTTCAGTAAATAAATTATTCTTCCATTATTGGTCTGCTATAAATACTACAGAAAAACAGCATTCAAATGGAAAGAGCATATAAAAATTAAATAAGTAAATGTAGAACTAAGTAGCAGCTGTTTGTGTGTGCCTTGAAAATTATTAGAACTTTCAGCTGAAGGTGCCATGACTGTAAAGAGCAACAAATATAAAGCTGAACATGTTTTATTCATATTTGTAGAAGAATGTACACATAAACCTGCAGAAGGTTCATTAAGCATTACCAGCATGTCTGACAGGCAGAGGGAGAGATCTGTGTGTGGCACAGAGAACAGCCCATGGGAATTGAAAGAAAAGACACCCAGCTTTTCTCTCACTTCTCATGTTCTGAATCCACTTATCTATCATGTCCTTCCATACAGACATTTTAAGAATTAAAGGTAACCCTTATCCTACTGACCTTCATAGGAATTTTGCTGGGAATTACGTTCCAATGTCTTTGAAGGGGTTGGAACTGAGCCTTGGAGCTGAAAGCATAGAAACAGTACAAATGAATAGCATAATTAGCTAATGCTTCAGTGTTCTGAACTGTAATTTAGCAACTGTATCCAAACATTTGATATTGTTTGATTTATTTAATGCTGGTATCTCTCTAGCTCTATGCCAGTTCAAGCAACCTTAGTTGGATATTAAGCATCTAGCCTTCCTCTAACTTCTTTGCCAATGATTGATCTGTAAATACGCTAATTTGTACATCAGGAGATCCAAAATTTTGTGCTATTGTTCCCTATTCCACCCTCTCCTTTCTGCTAGCCCTCATTGCTGCTGCCTTCTAGACCACAAAAATGCCACTAGTCTTTCAGTCCTATTCCTAGTGGATATGTTTTGGTTTGAGCTAAATGTTTTCTTGAAGTTCAGCTTCTTCCTTCTCCAAAATCAAGTTTATGCATTACCCAGGGATGGGGAGCAGGGGAAGGAAAAGAGGAAGGTCCAGCTCCTCTGCTACTCTGCCTCAATCCTATCTGACATCCAAAGAGAAAGGCTCACCCAGTGCCTTTGGAATAGGTCCATGGCAGAGTGTCTTCTCCCAGAAAAAGGTGAATAAAACTATTGGGAGAGAATGTAACAAAACAAGCAAGGAGTCTCTCAGAGACAGGAGGTAGTGACTGGGGCAGGTGTTGGGGAGGGGGAAAGAAGATCCTGTTTTTCAAAATTGTAATTTCAAGCTCATTTTGCACTGTGGCAGAGAACATCCCGATTGCCTTTGAATCAGTATTGTCTTTTCAGGACTAGAATTCAATAAAATCCAGATCAGCTGAACTTGTGATGTGATCATGTAGGGGCCACAGGTAGAACATGATTTCTTACCATTGCCACTGCAAAATCTGTAAACAGATCCAGGTCTGGGGACAAAAGCTGGGGAGCAAAAGAAACGTGTGCTGTAGAGATTTAGTACACGTTTCAAGGCACTTTTTCTGCTTTTAGGGAACAGCACCTGTGCATGGGATAGTCAGCACACAGGAGGCCAGAGAGCAGATGTTTTACTTTTAAGGAATGACTTTCTCCTGGGTTACAACACTTTAGGTTACATGAGTAAGTACTGATGTAAAGGAAAATGAGATGAATTCAGGCTGTCAGAATACATTCTTTACTTCAGGTGAGGTATTAACATGATTGTTATCCTAAAGGTGGAATTCTCTCCCCTTTCCATCTCTTTGAGATATAAAAAAACTCCCAACCAAAACCAAGTAAGACAACACAAACCATATTGATCATAATCACTGCCTTAGCTTTTTTGGTAGGTGACACAATTAAAAGCTATCTTCTTATGCAGCCAGTGACTTCACATCATGTAGTCACTCTTAATCAAGCTCTAGTATCTGCCTAGTCTAAGAAATGCATTCACTAAATATTTAACTAGCTAGGGGAACTATTCCCAAAGCTCAGTTTTGCTGAGTGTTAAAAGCTTGTAACACTGCTCATGACAGTGTGATTCTGCACTCAAGATCTTTAAGATATAAAAAATAATTAATAGCCCTGCACTGAAATGCTTCTCAGAGCATGTATGCACATCTTTTCTCCCCCCCCTTTTTTTTGTTAACCTGAAAGAGAGGTTTAAAAGGCTGCTGGTTTTTGGACCTGGGCATCCTGGTGGGCACCAAGCTGAACATGAGCCAAGAAGTGTGCCCTTGACACAATAAGGTTAATGGGCTGCAACACAGATAAGGTTAATGGGCTGCATGGACCTGGTGAAGGGAGTCAAGTGAAGGGTCATACAGATCATGAAGGGACTGAAGCATCTGTTCTGTGAGGAAAAGCTGAGAGAGCTGGAACTGTTCAGTCTGGAAAAGAGAAGGCTCAGGGGGATCTCATCAATGTCTATAAATACCTGAAGGGGGGGTGGGAGGAGAAGGCAGTCAAGTTCTTGTCACTGGAAACCACTGAAAGGACCAGAGGCAAGGGGCACAAGTAACACAGGAGGTGCCATCTGAACATCAGGAAACACTTTGTTACTGTGAGGGTAACCAAGCATTGGCACAGGCTGCCCAAAGAGGCTGTAGAGTCTCCTTCCTTGTAGATACTCAAAAACCATCTGGCCATGGTTCTCGACAAAGTCCTGGACAATCAGCTTGTTGAGCCCTGCTTAACAGGGTCCCTTCCACCCTCAACCAACCTGTGAATGTAGAATGGAGAATACAAGGCAGAATCCTGGTTGCTGTCATCTTGTCTACTGCCACCTCAGACCTGTGGGATGGCCTGGTTATCCTGAATGGCCTGCACAGGAACGTGTCTCAGAACAAAACATTCAGCCTGTCAAAGGCTTTTTGCTACAGAAGGTAGAGCAAGACAGCAAGTGGGGAAAGAGAAAGTACTGTCACTTGACATTTCTAAGAGAACTGAAAATTAATTATTACCGATACTGATTTTTCCAAACCTATCTTTAAGTTCTTACAAGCCATTTTAAGTAATTTCTCTCCCTCCTCAATTCAGTGGCTAGGGGAGGTCTCTTACAGCTCTCTTAATACCTTTCCCCAGTTGTCACATTTGTCTCTTCAGTGATGGGCAGCTTCCAGGTAACAGTGGGTCCCTTACAAGCTTGCATTCTGTCTGCAGGAGATGGTTCCACACAGTCCCTGATCAGAGACCTTCGGTCAGCACGGTGGGGGAAGAGCTCGCAGCAGTATTAAAACCTTTCTTTCAAGCTCTCAGAGAAAGCAGGTAGCATCCATGTATTTAGATGCAGTTTCATGAAGGGTAGCAAAAGGGAGTGATTAATGGATGTCAGCCATCAGCAACCTCTGTCAAGGTTACCCAGGTCACATACATGGGAAAGCACATCAGCAACTCTTACATGAGTTAAATAATGGGGTGCAAAATGTTGTTAAAGAAGGGCCGCCGGTTCCTTAACAAATCCAGTGGCTACAGCAGTGCTTGGGCTGGGAAAGCAGGGCTTGCAGCAATGTTCTGAATGAAGAGGAATAAGAATGGATGTCCTTGGCTCCACACCTGATCACTACCATAGCCATGGTCAACACCTGAATTGAAAGAAAGAAAAGAAATCCACAAAACCCTGTATTGAAAAATCCACCTATCAGCAAAGTCAATGGATAAGGTTGGAATATTACCAAGATTCAAGTTAAACTATCTTTTGAGGAAATAAATATTCTCCTCTTCTTGTGCAGCCTATTAACAGCCCAACTATCCTATTAAAAAAAAGTGCTAAGACAACCAGTTACTGAAAAGCAGTGTCACTTGGACTGGTTGTAAGCTTCTTATTCCATGACCAATTACTACAGAGAACAGGTTATAGAAAGATCTTACAGAATACAAATTGATTCATCTCTGTGCACTGGAGACTTCTAGAAATAACAGATAAAACCATGATTTATTACACTGTACAAAACTAGATTCAGAACAGGCAAGTGCAGAATATGGTACATAATTTATTTTTTCTGTACATTACATATTTTTAAATTTCACTGACAAACCCAAAACTTCCCTAATTTTTCCTTTACCTGCCTAAGCCAAGCAATTTAGTTTGTTCTACAGGATAGATGAAAATAACTTCCTTGAGAATTTATCATCTGATTAATTTGGCAGAAGGTGCTTGAGCTCAAACTTCAGTGTTCCCCATAGCTTCAAACCCCCGAGGTTAGAACCTCGGTTGGTAGCATAGGCTTCTGCCACTGTACCAGAATGAGCAACTCCATTCTCCTTAAATTTCAATAATTTCTTCTTCTTAGAAGATGAATTAATGCAGTTGCATTTGTAGACATTCCAAACAGTATAAATGAAGGCTGTAGCTACCACCAGAAAAATGAGATTTCCAGTAGCCCCAGATTGGTGTCGAGTTCTGTGGGATGTGCTGAGATAGGTTATATATGTTTAATAAAGTCCTTAAGAAAAATAAATATATTTGCATAATGTATGTACAAAGATTGGTTGATTTCCTTCATTCATATAGGTTCAACAGCAGATATAACCACAGTTATATTTTATTCACTACCTCACAATGATTAATGTCACCCTGGTAGTGATGCAGTAAGAGTCTAAGAGAATATTGGCCTATTCTTTATAATAGTGCAAATTATATGGAGGTATTTTGAAAACTGTGGCTTAAAGAAAGAAGGATTAACAAAAAACCCCCTCCTTTGGTCCCTGCAAGAGTAGTTTGATTCTTCCATGAAATTTTCAAAACTCCCCCACATAATTTTAACCAACTATTAAGGCGTCAAAAGCATGGATTTAAAGTTGAGATTTAAGTGGTCTTTCTTGGACTTAAAAAAAAGTCCACTGCAGATTTCCTGACAAAGAAATTTTCTTAATGCAGCTCCTTCTCCTCCTGTCTTTTCTGCACAAAAGCAATACACCAAATAAACCTGTCTGATAATCTCCCCCACACATTTTTTTTAAACTACAATAAAACATTACACTTAAATATATTGCACAAAAAGCATAACATATCCTGCCTGACTCTTCACAAAAATGGCCACAAACACAGGAGAACAGCTACTGAACACCTCAAAATTTGAATAGATCAATGAAATGCTGAGGAGATACTGGCATGAGACAGGTGTTTGGATCACTGGCTGTGCAGGGATGTCCTGTATCCTGCAAAATGAAGGAGAAAAAAAAAAGTAAGTTCTCTTTCCATACTTCACCCTCAATTCAGGAAAAAAAAAAAGGGAAAAATTCTCTCCTCCTAGCAAAACCAGAACTTTAGTTGGAGCTCTTGAAAAAAGTATCATCTTCCTTATCCATTATTTTTTGATAAATGTAATAAAAAGGCAACTGCTTTGTTGAACTTAAATTATCTGTCTAATCAAAAGTTGAAGTAAATTATTCCTCTAGGGAAAAATTAGCCCCTTTCTTTGAAAGTGAAGGGCAGCAGACACTTTCTCAAAAAACCTGAACATCATGTTTGAAATCCCAGTCTTAAAAGGTTTTCTACTTTGCTATTTTTCACCCAATATCCTTCTTTCCTCTTGCATTCCTACCTTTTCCCCACCTAAAAGCCTTGCCTTAAAACAGAAGTGAGCACCCAGGCAAGTTAGGACTATTTAAGTCAGACAGGAAAGGCTTTGCCATTACAAATTCACTAAGCCTGCAGTGTTTTCTTTCACATTACTTGAAACTTTACCTCAGCAGAACTGATTATTTAAGATTCAAATTGCTCTTTGAATTAAAAGTTCTGTTTTGCACCTTATTAGAACTCCCCAAGGGAAGGAAATGCAGAGGTGTAATGAGAAGAAGGCCCCAGACAGTTCAATGGAGAAGTTAAAACACCTGGTTCAATATTGTTGTAAGGTTCAGAACCTGCCCTCACCAGGTTTTAAGGGGTTTCTCTCCCTTTTCCACCAGTGTTGATGAATTCACCATGTGAGGCAAGAAAACTAGATAAATACATGGCAAGTAGATCAGAGACTACTGTGGTCTCCATTGCTTTTTTCTCCATAGGAAGTGAAGTTACATGCAATTCAGTTAGTAGAAGGAAACCTGTAAGTGAATTTTTTTCCTCACTGCCACATTCCCACCCAAAGTCTTTGCAGCAGCAAAGTGCAGTAGGTGAAACACATTCTGAATACTACTCAGCTTCATGTTCTAAATACTATGCAGCTTTTCCAATTAAACTTGCTACTCTGTTGATATATTGTTTGTGTTTTCCCATTGCGTCTATAGATGACTACATGAATATACCATGTGCTATCACCTCCTCATCCTCCCACTTTTTTAATAATTGCTTTAATATCACCTAAGAAACGGGTTAGAAACAGTTGTTAGATTCATGACACAGAGGGGAAAAACAAAGAGACCCAGGTAGAACTGCCTACTGGGGGAGGCTGCAGATGAGCAAGAACAGATGACCAAGACCAAAACCAGAGGTGTTAAACTTAACACCTTCATCTTGAGATGACATCTACAAGGAAGAGCTACACCACATCAGAAAACACTCTCAAAGGTAGTTGCTGATGGCCTATTGTCTTCTCTACCCCTTGCTGTGTCAGTGTCATGCTTCCAGGAAAACACACCATCAGAATTGTAATTCTGGGAAAAAAGGTAGGGCTTGTCCTCTTTTAGTACTTATTTATACTCCTGAATATTTTAGAATTTGTAACATGCTATCTGCTTTCTCTGCACATCATTATAAAAACACTTTTGTGTTTTCCTGACTGCCTAGTCAGGAATTACAGGTCCAATAAAAATCTCAGAGGTCAGTTCTTACTTATTGAACCAACATAGACAGAAATTTTACAGCGAAAAAAAGAAGAATCATAACTTTCCTGTAATGAGTATTCCTCCCTCTAAGAGAAATATATTTTCATTGGAACTACATTTATTAATGTGTTCAAATCATATTGATTTTCAGTGTATCAAAGCTAAAACAGATTTCTTTTAAGGTAAAATGATAATTCCCCAGGAGGAGCATTTACTGTCAAATGTAGTTGTTCTCCTCAAACTTTATCACAGCTGGACATTAAGAACCTCTGTGTAAGTATTTTCACCATTTCTTCATTCATAAAACAATGATATAATTGCCTCCCCCAACTCTCCCAAGTCACATGCAGCCTGTTCTGGGAATTTCCCTTTCAAAAAGGTATACAGGACTACAGCATTCCAAGTGGAGTAAAATCAATTTTATTTGCATTAAGGAAAGTTATTGAAGTACATGTTATTCTTTTCAGATTTAAGTACTGAATTAAATACATCAGGCAGTGCAGGAATAGTTTATAACACTGAGTGCAGAGAAACCTATTTCTTAGCAAAATCTGGCTGGTCTCACTAAAACCATTGCCCCTATGTTTGTTAGAATTTGAATTAGAGTCCCTAGTTTAAATGGCATTAACAGGGAATATGGCAATAATGAAAGACAAAACTGACAAAAAAGTGAGATGGAAAGTCATCACTACCTTTACCTAACAGAGAAAAATCCTGAAGTATTCCTGCTGCTAAACTAATGTGGGGAAACAAAAATCAAACCAAAGAGTATCAGACAATTAGAAATGAACACACTATTCACTTCAACATTACAGAACAGTTACCAATGAAAACAGATGAGACACAGGCAATACCTGGAGTAACAAAGCAAGGTGGTAGTCCTTTTGAGATCATGAAGAAGGAAGCGGGAAGGAGAGCAGTAAAGTAAAAGAAGCAGAGTTAAGGTTTATTTAAGCTAAGGTTCATATGCCATTTAGAAAAAGTCTTTTATTCTTGTGGCAAATCACAAGCAGGTTTGTGAGAACCTATACAAGCACAAGACCCAGGAAGACTAAGACCAAGTGTGAAGCATACTACTTCTGCAAAATGTTTGCACTGTTTTCATAAAGCCTTGGATACTGAAAGAAGAAAAGGTATTTCAGCTTCTGTGGCCATGTCTGCGATAACTAAAAAGTGCTACATAGTGTGCTAAAGAAAAGACCTGTCACAACTGCATTGATCCCCAGTTGAACAGAAGAAATAATATACACAAAAAGTAGTCACAGAGGCATCAGTCGACAATTAGTTTGTCATTACTTTTGCACTACTGAAATTATGTATTTTTCTCAGTTTCATCATGGACATACGTATCTTTTACCAAAAAGTCACTTCTGAAAACAGTCATTCAATATGAAAAGTTTGTTATAATCACTCCCTCCTCTAACACAGAAGAGTACTAGAGTCACTGTAATTCTAACAATGATTTAGGAGTCTCTTACATACTATATTTAACATTACTTTGGTCATAGGCTTTAGACAAATACAAGAATACAAATGCCTCTTCTCAAAAAGCTCTTTAAGCTTGTTAAAAGAAACACTATGATTATTATAGCATACTGAAAGAGTGAAAAGTCATTTCCCTACTTCAACAGTTTGCTAATTCAACTCAGGAGCCATCAGTCCCTTCTTCTGCAAGGCCTTCTTTGAAAAGGGCACAAAATGCAGGACTGCAATAACTTCCTGTGTGTAGGCCTCTCACATTGCCAGCAATTATGTTAGATTACGAATTTCATACACTGATGAAAATTCTTCTCATCACTAGTTAGGTCTGTACCTTGGGGCTATTTCAGAACCTTGTGGCTTTGGTTCTTAGAAACTCTTAACTCTCAGCGTGTTTACCCAAAATTACTTGTTTCATTCAAACACTTGTACTTTTCAATGGTAGTGCTACATTGACAGTTGTACTTAATGATCTTAAAGGTCTCTTCCAACCTTGATGATTCTATGATTTTCCTCTGTAAAGTAACTGTGATTTCTCTTTTAAAGTTTGGGCTTGGTGATGTTTTGTTGTGGGTTTTTTTGTTGGCTTTTTTTTTTGCCATACACCCAATAGAATTAGTCAGAGTAAAAGCTTCAGTTGAGAACAAAAACGTATAATAGTATGTCAACCACTGATATACATATGTAATTTAACAATTTGTCTAATCAAGTACGATGCTGAAGCTTGAATGAATTGCCAAAACCTGATAAAAGTTCCTTCTGATTAAGAAATATTTTCACTTAGCATGGAATTAATAACCTACCTCCTCTCCCTCTGCCCCCTACCTCTGCTTTGCTTCTCACCTCTCTTGAGAAAGCTTGGGAAAGGGTGTAGATACAGGTGCCTGAACAAGAAAGCAGAACTATTTCCCCCCGCCCCCCATAACTCAGTGATCAGCACTACTTGACCCACATTGCCCTGTAAAGAGAGGGATGGTTTTTCGGACCAAAGATTAAGGTCTCAGTGTCCCTGCAAATAAGGGTGACAATTGTGCATAAATCAATTCAATTAATCTTTTTCGGCCTGATCAAATATTTATTTTAAGACAGGGACAAGGCTTAGATACCAAGACCTAGAGAAGGAAAACTGCAATGCAGGCTCACAGGTTGGAAGGCACCTCAGGAGGTCTCCAGCTCAGCCTCCTGCTCAAAGCAGGGTAAACTGTGGGATCAGACCAGGTTGCTCTGAGCTTTTTTCAGTCAGGTCCTGAACACATCCAAGGATGGAAACTGCATCAACCCTACAGTAAACTGTTCCCTTGCTTGGCTGTCCTCGTGGCAGGCTTTTAGGTTCCTCTGAAGAAGTCTTCTCCAGCCTCTCCTCACAGGGCAAGTCCTCAAGCCTCCCTGATTATTTGAGTCTCACCTGAACTTCATCCAGTTTATCAGTATCTTTTTTGTATTGGGACCCCAGCTGGATGCAGTGTCCTGGATGCAGTATCCCAGATGCAGTCTAATGAGTGCTGCATGGAAAGGGGTAATGGCTTTCCTCAACCTGCTGACTGTGCTCTTGTTAAAACAGCTGATCCCAAACATTTGATATAGAGTTTTAATGCAGAAGCATGCAACTTATCTATAACTGCACCATCTCTTTAAGACTTGCTCAAATCTCCAGAATGAGGCAGTCAGCACTGAAATGGTGATGTAGTAGGTACTGCTCATTAATCCATAGTATCTTTAGAACTTACTGTGCTGTGTTTCACTAAAAATATAAAAGCCCAAAATGAGACCTATTATTCTGGTAGTAGATTGGAGTAGTCAAGGTAACAAGACATCTGCCTGCACAGGTTCACTGCCCCTTACCGTCACATACCATCTCTGAAGTTAAATATTTAATGCCAAACACATTTTAGTAATTTCTAGTATTAGAGTTATACATTCAATTATACCAAGATCAGAATGAGAGAAACTAACTGTAGAAAGCATTTACCCTTTACACAGCCAAGGCAGACAATCCAAAGAAATCTGATACCACAATTGCCCACCTGCATGCATGAAAGTCTTTGAAACTTCCCCTTTCAAAGAGAAAACTTTACCCTGCATATTGGGCCAGATGTCAAAGAATTATTCCACTGTAATGAAAGTTCTTAGACATTCTTGACACAGATCTTTCAATAAATGCCCAGGCTTTTCACAGCAGAAGCCAATTCTGGCTATCTGCTTTCCTACTATTAATTTAGCAAAACATTAGTACCTGGAAGGGCTCCATGATATCAAGAATACTAAAATTCTAGATAATATCATTAAGTAACATACTATTTCTATGAAAGCCAGCTTATCCCGTTAAATGACTTAGGTTTTTTTGAGTAAAAAAGCCTCACACTGACATGCAACTCCTCTTAAACATCACAGAAAGATGAAACAAGAACAACTAATTTCTGTTAATTAAAACATGAGTAATATGAATTTTTTCCCAAGATTTCTCAAACATTTCTTGCTCTTTGCTGTCTACTGAACACTACCCATATCTGATCTTTCAGCTGCAAAATTAAAGAAGTCTCACTAACTGGAAGGCAATGTTATGGTGCAACCCAAAGTAAAAGCAGGACTATGAAATCACACACAAGTTAAACAAGAAAATGCCCTATTAAAGTTAAAATCATCCTGTAACTCAGCCTGTGCTTCATTGTAAACATAAAAATAAATATAAAACACATTTTAAATGAAGTTTCAAACACTCCTGCAAGCTTCATATGGGACAGAAGCAAGACTATAAAAATACAGAGCTTTACACCAATGTGGTAGGAACACTGTAGTAATTAGTTCTTATTAGAGACGTATTGATTACCATGTCATCATCAGCGAATCCTAACTTCAGACTACTCCCTAATAACTTTCTATAAGGTTAAATAGATACAAGAAGACAGAGTGCAACTCTTTTCCACATGCCACTTTTCATTGTAATTCTAAGTACGGAGGTTATCAGGTATCAAGAGATAAGAACACAAGATAAAGAACAACTTTAGAATTGAATACTGATTTTATATGGAAGTTTTATATATTATTTTAAAGTTAGATACTAGTTACCCAATCATATTTTTCATGAGAAACCCAAGAAGATGATCTTGATATTTTTCTTTTCAGGTGATGACCACTAGCTGTTAGAACATATTTCTGATTATCTGTTTCAAAGCTCTTACCTTCCAAAACAGAATACTACAGTGTCGACAGAAATGCAAGGTGTCCCCGTACTGTTCCTTTATTGGGTAATATTTCTGAAGTGCAAAGTACATCAACTTCCAGTCAATGTGACCTTTCTCTGATGGAATCAAATGCCTACAAAACTAGACATAAAATTAATACCTTCTTTTAAAATTGTAATCAAATCAGGTAAAGGATGGGGGAAGATGGGGAAAAGGTAGTTAAACTGAAGTTTTGTAACTAGAATTCTTTGAAGACAATGTTCTGACATCATACATCTCTGCAAAGCAGTGAGAGAGACCTGGCCACAAAAAAAAAAAAAAGAAAAATGGATGGCAAATACTAAAAATAGGAGGGTGCATATTTGCCAAGAAAAAGTAGGCCATACACAGCTGATCTAACTCTACTGTCTCAAAATGATTATAATTATAGTTAAGAACCATTTAACAAAAACAGTATTTAGAGCTGTAAGTAATTAATTTTATACTTTTTAAAAAAAACTGAGGAATGAGATTTAAAAACATGATCATGCATTACAGATCATGGTTTTCTGTTAAAACATTAACTATGGATTTAAATAATGCTTTTTTTTAATTTTAAAAGCATATACATGATTTTTTTCACATTTGGTGATCTTTCTAGAAGGATAGCAATAATCAGTGATTGTTGTACTTCTTGGGGACCTAATCTCCATGTAAAGCTCAGCTGATGCACAACAGCTATTTCTCCCCTGCTTAATACAGCCAAGGTTTATTAAGCATGTATTTATAAAAGGCTTCTGTTCCACTCAGTGTGGACTAATGCTAATATAGTGAGGGCTTTCTTCTTTCAGAAGACAGCTCCTAGATGGGGCGAATAGCACTGCCTTTCTGATTTCAGCTACACTTGGTTTCACAGTAACTTCACTGTTTGAAGGTCTCATTTTTTCCAGAAGCGCTCTTCAGATGTCAAGTATGTTTTTGTGGTTGTTTCAATGGTTCAACAAATACACTGAAGAGCACAGAAAAAACAACCTAACATGATTCTGTAGCTTATTAAGGCAGTATACTTGTAAACAGAAGCAGCAGAATTTTTGAGCAGCAGATATGGGAAAATAAATAAAATCATTAGATTCCTATCATTAATTACTTAGCAAGAAATTGAATGTGAACATTCAGGAACACACTGGAAACACTCTGTACAAGTGTTCTTTATGAGGCACAGGGATAGTTAATTCTACTGAAATACTGAAGAGATCTTCCAGCATTACCTTAGTAAAACAGCTTCCTCTCCTACCAGTTTTGTCACTGTTCAAAAGAGCTTTGCTCATCTACCCTCAAAATACACTCAACTGCTACCTAAGCTTAAATTTCTTATCCTCATAACTTCACATTGCATCCTTCTCAGCTTCTGAAGGAAGGTTTTTCAGTTTGCTTTTGTCTGTTTATTTTCTCCAGGAACTTAATTTTAAAGCCTTTATCTCACATAAAATTCTTATTTGGGTTAATTGATCTTCACTTCTTTCTTTTCTGTTATAATGAAACTTAATCTGGTAATCACCAACCAAATGGTGCCACTTCAACCTGTCAGATTTAAGAACGGGCACTTTTGCTTCCTCCATTCTGGAATGTACCAGGATTTCAAAGTTCTTCCTCCAGTTCTGACGTAACTACTACTTTCATAGGTTTATTTTCACCTAAACTGATTTGATCACAGCATTTATTATTGCCAGAAAATTAAGACAGTTCTGGAGTCATTCCTAGATTAATTTAATGCTCTTTATGAGGAAGTGACAGAAAAGCACCATTTCTTTTTTTGTTATTAATTTCAAAATCTCAAGCATTTGTTCTATTCCTTTTTGCAGAAATCCAATTTTGGCTCCACCAGACTATTCATGTAGCCTAAAAGTTCAAGCAATCTGACTACCTTGGTTAGTAAAATAAGTTCTACTTTAGGTACTAAAATTAGGAACACCTTAGAGGTCTCCTTTACCGTACTTGCTGGGGATTGTGCAGTTTTTAAAGAAACATCTTTCGAAAAAACAGTTTTTAAAATAATGCAAGGAAACAGCCCAATAGTTATCCTAAACTCACAGACATGCTGAATACCATAGTTAGTAGCAAGCAAGGCCCCCAAAAAGAACCCCTTCACTATTACTCCACAATGTCACACTTACCTCAAAAACTGTGAGTTCACACTTCATTATTGGTACACCATATCACAAAGGCTACATTTATACCAATGTCAGAGTTTATTACCTGCTTTTCCGCAAAATGGTACTGGCAGAGTTTTTTCCACAACTGTCTGTCTTCACTAAGCATGTACAAAGTTGGGGTCACTTGACCCAGAGTAATAATGTCCCAGCCATCAGAGAACCTGTATAAGATGTTATTCAGCATATGGAGAGGGAGATCCATAAGCGTAAGACCATTGTTGACTTGCTGGAAATAAGAGTTGAAGACTTTTAGCTACAAAACCTTGACAGTATAAGGTGCAAATAAGATTCTTACTTTAAAGGTGTCTCAGGTCTTAGTTGTTCGAAAACATTGAGTAAAATCTATGGTTAAGTCTTGCCTACCATTATTCTCTAACTGCTGTTGTTGAAAACTTTAATGATTAGAGGTACAGAAGGAGCTACAGACTGTAGCTTTATAACTTATAGCTTTTCTGCAGTTAAAATAAACATATCCTAAATTATTTATTTAAAGTTCAAATAATTTTTAAAACACTTCTTACAAAATAATAGCATGCAATCTTGAAAACTACATATTTTCAATATGTATATAGATATATTCAATTCCACCTTTGAGATAAGTGTGCTAAAGCCCTAACTATAATAAAGATATGAACCAATTTTTTCTGATCTGTAGGATCACTACAGTTTCTCAATTTTTATTAAGAAACAAGCACATGTCAATTTGCCTTAAGACAACTAGAGTACAGAAGAGAATACAGAATGCAGAAATATGGAATAAAAGCATTTTGGAAGTCAGAGGAAGAAGAGAGCAAGCAGGATAATTTCTGAAGTCTGGAGATAGTTCCCCTGATACATAAATGAGAAGTTCTGCAGGAGTGTTTGAATAAAGCACTGAGAGTTTTCACTGGGACTATACACCTCTGGGAACTTGAACGGGGTAACCTACGGCACAGCTCATATATGAATAACCCTGGAGCCCACAGTGCCAGGTGGCACAAAACCCAAGAGGCTGGAGGCAGTGTCCCAGCTGGGGAGGGAGGGAGCGTGGGCAGTGCCGGCCCCACCCAGCAGAGCTGCCCCAGCAGAGGGCACTGGCAGCAGAGCAGCTGTGCTTCAGCGGGCTCTTGCTTCTGTCGGCTTACTTCACAGCCACCCATCCCACAGACTAGACTTTCCATAGTGTCATCTGTTATAAACACCTTGGGACTATCGTTCTGTGGAGGAATATGTGAGCACTACAGATGCAGGATTTCACACTGGTGGTTCCAGCCAATGTAAAACAGCTCCGAGGGATGTGTTGCACTGGAAAGAAACCAGCACAGCAGTAACTGCAGCGTCTGTGCTGTGGTTGCCTGGCATATAAAAACTGCTGAGACCGGGTTCCCCATTTCTCCTTTCTGTTCCAAAAGTAGCTGGTTTATTCAGATACCCAGCACACACAAAAAGGACTACTTCAAGATTTCATAGCTGACAGCCAATAGGTGAAACACTTGTATGATTTTACTGTGAGCATTATCTTGCAGCATTTCTTTCTCCAGGAGTAACCCAGTCTGATTAAAAAAAATTGCCTGCTTATCATCAGAAGTTTCCACTATAAAACCCTGGACCACTGCATACCACATGCTTTGAACATGATGATAATCCAGATGCTGAAGTCATTATACTTCCTTTTTTTTCCTTTCCTTTTTTTTTTTTTTTACAAAAAGCAACTGTGCTTCTGCAAAATTGCTACTCGAATATTTTCTTCCTTGATACACCTCTAAAATGCCTTTTAGATTTTTATTTCTTCAGTTGTAGAAAATTTACTTTGGAATTAAAAATTGGTATTTTTTCCATTTCCATCTGACAATCTAGAGACAAACATTTTGAAATTCATTTAAGTGAGAAAAAACATTATATCTATACATCTCTACCACAAACTAGCAGTACAGAGCTATTAAAAATTAGAAAAGTAAGTTGATCCATTTCATTAGTTCCATACTACTTCTTTAAAAACAAAGAAAATAAGTAAAAATGTTTAAAATGTATTTGGAATCCCCTCCCCCAAATTTTATTTAACATGATTTAATAACATACCTTGTTCATCTGAAGGTTTTTTAATTGTTGCTGCCACAGAAGGATAGTTTCTAATCGGCAAATCCAAATATTGATGTTCCCTACCAACACAGATTTTCCTACTCCCCTAATCAGTATACAGAGAGTAGAACTCAGATCCTGTAGAAGATCTTTGATTAATCGTGGATTATATTGGTCTTCCATGACTGGAAAACACAACAAACCAAATACAATTTTGGCTGAGTTAACCAAGCTAACAGTTAGCTCAAAGTAATCAACACTTTTTTTAGATGAACTAATTAAAACTCAACTGTTTGTGTACAAATAGCTGCCCTAATTCCCACTATGACATTCATGAATGTTGTTCCATACATGCAAGATCAATAATTAACAATTCCACAGGCAAATTTGATGCAACATTTCATGCTACACATTTAATAAACCTAATGCTAAACAACAAGTTATAAATCCAATTTCTTCTCTTCAAGGTGGATAGTGTTACAGCTCCATTTAGTGGGATTACCAGAAGGAAAAATAAATCCGTATTATGTAATAGCTTTTAAACAAAATAAACAGAACAGATATGTATTTCAAGTTTCAGTACATCACACAAACTTAAAACCAAACACTTTATTAATCTAAAAGCATTCACATTTCATGAAGAGTATAATTTAGTAGTAACCAACAGTTTCTGAATAGAATCTAACTGTCTAAATTCCACCAACCTGCTTCAATAGACATTATTCAATGACCAAGAGAAAACAACTTATTGCAACTGTGGGATGGGAGCTATGAAACCTTGCAATAAATCAACTGATATCTTAGTCACAGCAACTAAATCTGATGAAGCAGATCACAAAACCTTAGGTCTTACCCTTCCGCACAATTTTATCCAAAATGTTAAAGTAGTTCTTCTGTGCTGCACCACTCAGTGAAGTTAACTGGGATTTTGCAATTAGCTGCAAAAGCTAGGACAAAAAAATTAAAATTCAGAAGAATGACAGAAGTAAAGGATGGTTTTAAATACACACTTTCAGTGCATACACTCACCTCCAACACCCTAGATCACACAATGGCATTTTGTGAAAATATAAGTATAGAGTTCAGAAAAAGTAAGACAAACATGGAAAACTTTAGGCATCCCCACTAGCATACCATGAACAACTCCTGAAGGATGTACATTTTCAAAATACTATATGGATAGTAGTGTTTATCTCTGACAGAGCATATGACATATGGACTTTAGGAGCTGTAGTGAAACAATGAAGAGAGTCTATTTTGGAGGCTCACAAATACAAACATGAACTTCAGTGTGGCTGGGTCCTGAAACTCCTGAGAGATTTGGTGGCCAGGAACATCCCTCTGAACTGATACCTGCTTACCAGAGTTCCAGTTTCTGAGTGAAAGTATCGTACTGGTCAAACTGAACTGTGATGGATTTAGTGCAATACTTTCTACTCATGGAGAAGAAACACCATATTTTACCTAAACTAGGGGAAAAAAATTTCTACATTACTCCTACATTGAAGGCCCTGGTAGAATAAACGACAGTGATCTAATAATGAGCAGTGCACAAAACATATTAGTAACTTTCCCTTAACTAAATAGCAAGGATCTCCTAGCTGTTCACACATCTCTCTCTGAAAACCCTGTGAGCAGAAGAGTAGCAAGAACAGTGGGAATGGTTTAGAGCAAAGTAATTAGAACAGCTTAAATTCTTGGTGCATGTAAATGCCAAGCTACAGCTACTAGGGGCAGCCCTTGCTCCATTATGGCACCTTTGCTTTTACACTTTAGATTCAGTTTTGTAGCTGGTAAGAACCATTGCCTTTTCAACAAAAAATGGTCTCAGTATGAAATATGACTTTAATGTTGTGACAGTATTGCAATGTTTAGAAGTGTGGCCCTGAGCTTTTCAATTGCACTTTATAATGACTAGTTCAGAACAAGTGTTCTCAACACATTGGAAAGCGAAAGCAGGGAGCAGAAGCCAGCATTCCCTGCAGAGCACTCTCAAGACTAACCTGCAGAGCCCTGCTGGTATAGGATAGCATCAAGTGTTGGCACAGAAGGAGAATAAAGACTAAGCCTGCCAAAAATTATATTGTATCTTCATTTCTAAAACATCAAGTTGGCACTTTGCTCAACATTAATTTTCTTTTGGAAAGAAGGACTACACCTGTTCTCTCCCTGATTTAATAATGTTCCTTCTGTCTTCTCTGTACGATCCCTGACAAGACACTATGTGCTATGAAAAGAGGAAACAATTTTCTTGATGTTCTTAAATACAAGCAATCTAGTCTCAAAAACGGCGTTTTCAAAGCCTTTTAGTTTGATTAATAATTTAGAACACACCTAGAGGTCTCTGGCAGTTTGCCAGTTCAAGCAAGTATGTATATTTCTCTTGATTTATTTAAAAAAATTCAGTTACGTTACTCAGTTTGGAGATCAAATCAAAGAAACAGATTCCACCTAACTTATTTTAAGGAAGTTTCCAATTTCAGTTAAAATTAATATGCAAGGACTAAGGCAATTTTAGCAGAAGTAAGGTAGCATGAGTACAAGGATCTGACACACAAGTTCAGTCTTATGGATGTGTGTAAAGCCATGGCTTATGTTGTCTACTAGAGATTATAACTTTGAATGGATCATCTGTTTACTCAAATGAAAATATGTGGAAAAAACCCATATCAAACTCAGTGTATCAGCATTTAACAGCTACAAAATTATCGATCTACTACAGCACAAACAAGTACAGAAGAACAGCTTATCCTACCTTCTCCTTCTCACTGCCCACACCAAAAGGATCCTGGACAGACATCTATATTAACTTTAAATAATGACTGGCAGATTTTTAGTTAGTTGGAGAATCAAAATGGATCATTCTGGTGGTCTGGGATCAAAGAAGAGCTACCTAGTAGGGCTTTAGAAAAAGTATTCCTGATTCATACTTTGCTATCTTTAAATGGAAGAGGCAGAACACAGCACACATAAAAGTAATCATAACTGTGTTCATGCATAACTAGAAATAATCCTTAGAGAAGAAGAAATAGGAACGGCTACACTGCATTAAATGAGCTCTACACAAAGTATTGCCATCATTAGAAATTTCAGGAAAGTAAATGAGAACTCATGTAAAGCAGATAGGCACGGAATGAACTGCTTCTTTTATTAGGTCTGAGTTGCAGGCTGGTTTAAAATCTGAGAGAGTAGATTATTACTGACATCTGCTCAGATGTTTTCATTTGTTAGACAGAACACCACATATGTTTCTCAAGTCCACAAGTTCTATGGCTAAAGAATGAGCAGCAGCTGTCACTCATATCAATCATGCTTATTAGTGTCTTGGTAACTTTTGAGGTCTTATGTACCTGTTAATAAAAGTCAGTTTGCCACTACCACCTCAGAGGAACTGATACGAAAATTTAATTGTACCTTTGCATCTGTAAAACAATTCTAAATGTTAAAAATTTCAAATAAATTCTAAAATGTTAAAATGCCCACTATTTTAATTTCACCCTGATTGTTTAGGATCTACCATTACTAGAGCAATGGTTTGGATTGCAAAGCCAAATTTCTGAATTTTAAAGTAGTGCTTTCTCAATGATCTTAAGCCTGGACGACTACACCAGCATTTTATATTCTTTGGTGAACAGAAGAAAAACTGGTCAATGTGCTTATGTTAGACTTTGCACTCTGTTCCAATCAACTGTTTTAAGCAATCCAGCTTAGGCACTGCAGCATTTAAAAAACACGTAGAATTCTAGATTTGCATTCATTCTACCTGTTTTCCATTCAAGTAAGGCACTCAAGGTTGACACCATTTATAACACAAATCACCTTTTTTAGATGCTTTTTTTTCTTCCTACTGTTCAAGGCCGAAAAGTCTTGGGTAGGATTCCTGATTCTGCTCCCAAAACAGCACTAAAAAGTAATGCTCTAAACCACAACACACACATACAAAAAACCCCCAAAGCTGCAAGGGGAATAAACCAGGCAACTACCCTAACCACTAGCCTGGAAACAAATCCTTTTTGCTTTGTTTCCACATCTCTTGTTTTTCTGGGAGTATAATAAATTGCCTCAACTTCACAAGGATGGACAGAACATGTTTTCTCTCCAAATACTCCATAGCCTAGTGGTAAGGGTGTTCTCCTGGTATGTTTATTTAATTTTGATTCGTGTCTTTTAAAGTTCTGGGTGCATTCCAACCACTACATTATTTGTGAACAGCCTCACTGCTGAGCTGAACTCTAGTCCTGACATGACTCATTTTGAGCTTCCCTAGGAGTGGGGACAAGAACTTTACTATCTCAAGTTAGATGAAAAAAAAAACCCTGAGGCTAAAAGAAGATCAATATCGCCCAGAACAGGCATTTCCAAGTGGGCAGCTGGTTAGTCATTAAGGAAATTAAGGCTGGAGTCTCAAGTTTTAAGGGTTGTTAACAAAGATAATTGCATAGATATCTTGTCCTAGATTAAAAAAAAAAAAAGTGTGCAATGAATCATAGGACTGTTAAGAAGTTGCAGAAGAAACAGAAACTGCAAAATATTTACACATCAAATATTCTTCTGGAAATCGCTATTTTAAGCATATTTAAGATATAGCAAAGTATATTTGTGATGAATTACACTTTGCTGGTTTTGCTTGTATAGAAATTATTTTGCCTTTAAAGAAAGTTCACTAACCAGACTGATGAACAGCAGTTGAAACTACCATCAGTGTTTCCCTCTAAATACGCAGCACACTGGCCATCACCATCCTCCTCAAACTAGAGGCTTTCATACAGCAATATAATGAGTTTTCATCAAATAAAGATTACGCAGTTTAAGGTTGCTTCATGCCGTATAAATAACATAGGAACACGATATTTATACAGTTACAAATCATCTGTTCAGTGCAAAAATATTTCTTTTATACACACAGGCACACCAGCAAATGCATTTTTATAATATGAACATAAAATAAAGAGCTTACTTTGACCACGTAATTGAACCTTCTGATGTCCTGAATTGCACTTGAAAAATCTAAGCGGTTAAAAGCTTCTCCCAAGGTGCAATAGCCATGTCTCTGAGAAGAAAAAACACACTTTAAGTGGAAAGAAACAAACAGACAAAATTGAGCATGGATGCCATGCTCTCTGAAAATACAATGTATCTGGACTGAAGAGTTATTTACTTTCTTGTAGAACAAATGAAAACAGATACGCTGTTTGGAACTAACAGGTACATAACCAAGGCCTTTCGATTCATACTAATCATGCAGTCTGGAATCCCTGGTATTTGAGTGCCCTGGGAATCTACTCCACTCTTGCACTGCCATGATGTTGGCACCCTCTCATGGATATCACACTCCCCATTTGCCTCAGCATAAGTTGCACAGCAGTCTGAGCCTACAACCAGAATTATCTGATTCACATCTGAGGGTAAGAGCACAGGTAGTTGCTCCTAGGATTGGAAGAACAAATGGTGTCAACATCTAAAATTTATTTTCCAGGTGCTAGAAGCTTAGGTACCTTTTTTTTTTATGTCCCAAGAGCATGAGCTTGCATTTTCTTTTGGTATTTCTCCATAGGTATCTTAAGGTAAATATGGAAGTTTCAGAGGGTGTTAACTACTTAAGGTGTCAGTAGCAGCCCAAAATGACATGTGAACACATAAGCTGAGCACATTTAGAACCACAAAGCCACATGGGAGCCTAGAACAAAATATAATGATACTAGAAAAAAAAACCAACCCCCTAACTGAAAAGAGAGTTTTGCAGAGCAGTGTGCTATTATGGTTTATTAGCCCAGGAAGGAGAAGGATAAATAATTATCTGAAATTCATTCCTAGACAGACTTCTTGGTGAATTATGTGATGGTGACAAGATGGCAGTACAAATTAACATTCCTTTTTGTGACCCAAACAAAGCTTACCCTGGGTGCATCCCAGTGGGACAGGGCACAGTTATCTACTTGCTGCAGAGTGGTGGTAATTATTGCCTATTGGTTAGTGACCAAATTTGGGATTGTACTGCTTGCTAATCCGGTTCATACATCTCAGATCCAAGTGTGCTGCACACTTCCCAATGTGCACACCTTTGTTGGCTAATTGCAGTAAATTAACACTTACAGACAACAAAACTTTTGTTGAAATTTAAGTATTTGTGTCTATTCTCTGCCTCATCATCATCATGGCTGGGCTTCACGAATGAAGATTAAGGAAGGCTCTATCCACATTTATTACAGGCACGCTGGTGGCTAATGAGGCCAATACGAGATAGACATAATTCTCTGGCTAAAGAGTTATCAAAAGGTCAGCTTAAATACATTAACATGAGAGACCCATTTCCTTGAACAGCTGGAAATGGATTTCTATGAAAGCTCTGCCTTTCCCAATGCACCATCATGACAAAATTACTCAAAAAGCATCCCCTACTTCATTTCAGCTACACACCTGCACTTGTTTTGGTTTTCTTTATTTTCAGTGCTCTCCCATGGCATGTTTCATAGGTTTCTTATCAATACCTTCCTACTCTTGTCATTTTGCCCTAACAAGCTGTATCCAGTTTAGAAAAAAATGTTTCCTGGTTGTGAGACAGCAATTTCAAAATAAAGTAAGATTATAACTTGTAAGAAAAACTAGAGCTTCTGTAAATTATGTTTTAGATTAGCTTAAATTGTTGTTCTGAATTCTTTTGTTCAGCTGTGCTTATTCCTTGCTATTGCTACTTTTTGATTCTGCTACTTTTTTAACTTTTTAGTCTAAGCTTTTGAATTTACATGAAGAATTTCTTGAAAAGATTAGTGATTAATTCTAACAATCTCTGGTTAGTTTTTTATACCCCCCCCCCAAAACCCTAGGAAAGTCAATGGTCAAATATTAGAAGACAACCAAAATATTTTTTTCACTCTCTGAATGGACAAGAAATCCAAGCAAATACCACACATCACTAGTACATCAACTTCTACAGGAGTAGCAGAAAAAGTAATCCCAACATATAGGTTATGAAGGACAGCAGTGAGAGATTTTAGGAAATTTGTGGTTTGGCCTGAATGTAGTCTGAAAACTCAGCCTAACAACCTTATCATTCAAAACATCATAATGATTGGTGACAATCTGTCATCTCCCCTTCCTTCTTACCCTAAATTTGAGATGGCACAAAGGGAAAGAGCATGCTTGAGACTTTTGTAGACCAGTGTAAGTAACCTTATCTAGAAGACAGAGCAGAAAGAGGGCTTTGAATCTGGCGAAAGGCTTTACAATTACCTTCAGATGTAGAAGGGCAGTCTCTGGGTCACTGATCTACAAGGTGAAGTCTTTCGGTGTGTCCTCTACCTAAGCTCTCTCCACAATAACCACGCTCTTCCTGAGTACAAAGTTCTGTATGGTCTCTCTTAGCTCATAAATGCAAAGCCAAATTTTGCCTGCATGACTGCAGTCATTACACTCACCTGCTTCCTTCTCTCCGTGGCATTACTCTGTGGATGCAAAACATCCTTACTGGTGTTCAAGTTCCACCCATCCCAGATAACCATAGGAAGGAATCTCAAACTTCAAGACAGTTTATCTCTACATAAAATGGATGGCTTTCCAAGGGTTCATTCCAAGATCTTTCATGTTCCTTTTACAGTTGCATGATACAGTTTATATCCCAAATGGAAAGCACTGAATATAAAGGTCCTCTTTGTAAAGTTTGAAACTGAAATTTTACTTACTTACATTCAAATGTACACCAAAATTCCAAAATATCAGGTAGCTGCCTGCAAGCACCTTCTTTGGAGACAATTATCTGGTTTTGCACTTTCAATTTTAGTTCAAAGACAGACAGTACAAAGACAGATGGGCTTGGATAAGTAGTGAACTGTATGTCCATCCTTGCAAGTTCCCACTTTGCCAGCTGCCTTTGCCTCACCACGTACAGGTGTGCTATGTTGCCAGTGAAGAGTTAAATACAACCCCTAAGACACACAGCACAAACGCTGTTTTTGGATATACAGTCTGTCAATTAAGATGCACAAATATCGCAGGAATTGACCCAGAGCATGCAGACTTACTTCCTTGGTGCTTTCTTTATGAACATAAATCCACTTTTCACGATAAAAACCTAAAATAAAACCAAAATACAAGGATTTTAGGCTTCCACATTAGTTAATGCCTTCTAGAAAGAAACTGAACTAAACAGACAATAAAATGCTTCATAAGATAGGAGAGATGGCAGAACAGTTTTAATGAAGAAAGTTTATAAAGGCTAAAAAGGATGACTAAAATTTTTTACAAATTTGTACTTCAAGAAAATAATGGAAGAGTTATATAATTAAAAAAAAAAAAAAAAACCACAAAAAACACAGGAGTGAATTACCTTTGGATCTTTGAAAAAAAAAACAAGAAGTGATCAATACCAGAGCTTCAATTGAGACATATCACTTTTGACATGAGAATTTGTTACCAATACAGAAGTAAACATAATTTGGAAGGCTATTCTATGGGTGAATATAAATGAACAACTATAGCAACATTTTTCTGAAGCTACATGAGTCTTCTAAAATAAATGAGAAAACTCAGGCGTACATTGTGAATCCGTGTTATTCCTAAAATGATCTTTTTTCCTTTTCTTGGCTGCAAACTCACAGTCTTCAGTACTGTATACTTCTTTCTCATCATCCCCAGTTATGATGCTGAAATAAAAAAATCTAATTAGAACAGCAGTGATTAAATATTTAAGATGCATACAGCTTACAATTTTCTGCATTAAAGTCTACCAGCTGAAAAAAAACCCCCATATTCTTAATTAAGATCCTCTACCTGATTGTCTATAGCAATGTGTGTCTTGAGAGAAGCTGTCGTATTCTTTTCTTCCCAGTGCAGTTGAATTTTGTGTCAAAGTGATTAAGTACACAACAGTATCTTTAGGATACCTAAAGGTATCTTCTAAGTCATTGCTGACATTTAGGAAGAACTACTAAGAAGTCAGTACCAGCTGGACAACTGCAAAGCTCTCCAAAGCTCTGGCGTACAAAAACTCATTCTTTGAAATGGACCGAACCTTGAAAAACTGCACACAGGTATAAAAGCCAGTGCAGAATTGTTTCACACCCTTGCATAGGCAGAAAGCCAGCAAAGAAAGACATCTCTTTCTGCTGTCACTTTTGAGGGAAAGAAAGTCTTTCTTTTAACAAATGCTTGAAACACACCACTTTACATAATATAGGTGTCATGGTATAGGTGTGATGCTGTACATGATTTGTACAGCATCAAGAACCAAGTGGTCTGTCTCTGCCAGAGAGACTCAATTATATCTATGTCACTTCTGACAGATAACTATGTAACCCAACACTGAGGACTATACCAAATAATTATGTATATAGTGCACAGACAATGTGAATATACATAAAAAAATATATGGACAATAAACTATTAAAATAGGGTTTTTTGATAAAGTAACCTTTCTAAAATTTACATACATTTAAAAACTGCCCATGCTACAGGGAGTCTACACAGTTTCATAAAATTTTCTTTCCATTTTTGCAGATATCTGTAAGGACCAGCAACACAGATAAGAATGGGTGTTCATTTTTCTAGCACTGAGAAGGAAGATACTTCATATGAAGGCTATGGTCTTGCCCAGATAACCAGAATAATGAAGGATATGTGGTAGTGAAGTTTAACTGTAAGACTATTTTATTTCCCCATTACTGTTCTTTGACAACAAAGTTGTATACAAACCCCCTCACATTTGTTACTATTTTTAATCTCAGTTTGCCAGATGAAGCTATTTATCAACGTCAGTTTGAACTCCAAATTAAAGAAACTGAACACTATAAAATGAATTACATCAGTTTATTCAAAAATAACCTCTATTTGGCCATTAAGTGGCAAAAATTAAATTATTTTAGTTTATTGCTACTAGCTTATACAGTTAAAATTTTCAGGCCTGAACCATCTGTTAGGGAGGATAACTAAACAACACTGTAAAAAAGCTCTGGATTTTTGATTGCTCCTATCAGTAAATGCTAGTTCAGCTTAAAGATACACAAGTTGAGAAGACTCAGAAATCAAAAGTTAGTTTCATCTTAGCTTTTCTCTTCTGGGATTTAAACCTAACATATCACTGCATTCAGACACTGCTCAATCCAAGGTCAGGACCTTAGTTCATGCCTTAATATTTTTAAAGCAGAGGATAAAGACTCAACACCTTCAATATTCTATGCAACAGTGCCAAATATCACCTCTGGTCAAATAGCAAGAGTTCAGAGAGAAGAAATCACCAACAGGCAAAAGCAAAGCAACTGACAAAAGCACAACATCAACACCAAGTTATTTGATTATGTAGCACTCCAATCCATCAGGTTTGGGGTTTTCTTCCAAAGCTTTCATAAAGGAAATCTCTTTTTAAGACCACTAAAAATTAATTCAATTATGTTTCAACATACTGGCTGCATCGCCATGTCATGTGAGAGGTTACTGCAGAATCTGAAGATTTGCTGCAGAATCAGAAATAGAGGCCAATACTCCCAGAGCTTTATCATCCTAACAACAGACAGAAGACTAGAGAGATATGTCCTGATACTTTGCAACATAATCCAGGCAGCACAGAAACTCACTCATTCCCATTGACCCAGGGAAAGCAATAAGGAGAGTATGGGAGGCTGCATTCCTGAAGGCCTACCTTGAAAAGGATAGTTAAACTGTAGAGATTCCTTCTTTTGTTCCTGGAGAGGAAGCATCCCTAGAAAGCAATTTAGACCAGTAACATACCTGAAGTGATTTAAAGCCCACTCCTGCCTTCCAACAACAGAGAATTCCTCAAGCATCAGATAAACAAGCAAGGCAGATTAAGTACAGTTAATAAATCACAGAATCATAAAATACACTGAGTTGGAAGGGACCACAAGGATCATCGAGTCCAACTCTTAGCCCTGCACAGGACAACCCCAAGAATCACACCATGTGCCTGAGAGGATTGTCCAAACGTTTCTTGACCTCTGTCAGGCTTGGTGCTGTAACTACTTCTCTGGGGAGCCTGTTCCAGTGCCCAAGCATCCTCTGGGTGAAGAACCTTTATTTAATATCCAACCTAAACCTCCCCTGACAGAACTTCAGGCCATTCCCTCTGGTCCTGTCACCAGTCACCACAGAGAAGAGATCAGTGCCTGCCCCTCCTCTTCCTCTCACAAAAAAATTGTAGCTGCAATGATATCTCCCCTTAGTCTCCTCTTCTCCAGGCTGAACAGACCAAGCAATCTCAGCTGCTCCTCATACAGCTTCCCCTCAAGGCCCTTCACCATCTTCCTTGCCCTCCTTTGGACACTCTCCAGTAGCTTGATATCTTTCTTACATTGCAGTGCCCAAACCTGCACAGAATATTCAAGGTGAGGCCACACCAGTGCAGAGCAGAGCAGGACAATCCCCTCCCTCGACTGGCTGGTGATGCTTTGCCTGATGCCTCCCAGGACACGGTTGGCCCTCCTGGCTGCCAGGGCACTGCTGGCCCATATTCAACTTGCCATCGACCAGGACCCCCAGGTCCCTTTCCATGGCACTGCTTCACAGCATCTCATTCCCCAGTCTGTATGAACATCCAGGGTTGCCCCATCTCAGGTGCAGACTCCTGCACTTATTGAATTTCATGTGGTTGGTGATTGCCCAGTCCTCTAATTTGTCAAGGTCTCTCTGCAGGGCCTCCCTGCCCTCGAGGGAGTCAACAGCTCCTCCTAGTTTTGTGTCATCTGCAAACTTGCTTAATATCCCTTCCAGTCCCGTGTCCAAGTAATTTATGAAGATGTTGAAGAGCACAGCGCCCAAGATGGAGCCCCACGAAACTCCACTAGTGACAGGTCTCCAGTCTGATGTTCCCCCATTCACTATAGCCTTCTGCGCTCGACCCATGAGCCAATTGCTCACCCACCACATGATGTGTTTATCCAGCTCTGTGCTGGACATTTTGTCCAGAAGGATCCTGTGAGAGACAGTATCCAAAGCTTTACTGAAATCCAAAAAGATGACATTAACTTCCCCCGATCAGCTAGGAAAATATAAGGAAATCAGGTTTGATAAGCAGGACTTTCCTCTCATGAAGCCTTGCTGGCTGTGACCAGTGACTGCATTATCTTTCAGGTGTTTTTTAGTCTCTCTCAAAATAATCTTCTCCACAACTTTACCAGGCACTGAACTGAGACTGACAGGCCTGTAGTTTCTAGGGTCCTCCTTCTTGCCCTTCTTGAAAATCGGGACAACATTCACCAGCTTCCAGTCAGCTGGGACCTCTCCGGAAGGAATTGTGAAGATGAAGAGGATATTTCAAACACCTTTGTCTAACATTTAAATTTGCCTGTGATGTTCCTGGAATTCTTCACGTCTTTTTAGAGAAAAGACAAATTGGACTGTTCCTTCTGAGGATCTCCTGATATGATGGTTTATTTCCTCATGTTCTGTCCTATTTCATGTGGAGAGTCTTTCCCTACTTATCTGTAAACACCACCACTCTTCTTGACAAACCTTAAGTCTGAAAGCAAGGAATGAAAGCAAGAGTCCCACAGACATTAGAAGAATGGGACAGAAACAGAGGCAGTTCCCCAGTGACTACGAGCGTCCATTCCTTCCAGAAACCTGCAGAGCTGCTTGGCGAGTAATAAAGCTGCTCTACCATCACAAAAGCAACCCCTGCCCCCTTCAAACACCAAGCTAAGATACAATAAACCAAATCAAAAGCTGCACGTGCCATATGGTGTAACAGAAGCCTTAATGAAATGTTTTTATTATAATACTGCACGTGACATCTGCGTGCACCTGGAAGGATTTAAATACATACATAATACTGCCAATTTACAGCTATTCTTACTTTCTTGTCTTGATGATGCACTTCAAAAAAAATTGTTCTAAAGCTTCTAAAGCAAAGTATCTGCTGTTCTTAGAACTATAATATTTTAGATAAAGCATGTAAGAACTTCAGCTTTTTCAAAAAAAATAATTTCATATCAGTATTTAAATAACCTTTTGGGTATGACACTTAAATGATGGAACATATGACAGGGCTATCTGAGCTCCAGCTGTTCTTCCTTATCCCCTTGCTTCTTTTCACATGGCCCTCAAGTCATGCAATTACATACAGAGACACACCAAGTGCTTTACAAGAGACTCAAAGCCAGTTACAGCTTGAGCATGCATGGCAAATTCTGAAATAAGCGTCTGCACCAAATAACATGACAATGTATTTGCCAAAGTATTTTACACTGCGTACCACAATATGAAGGCCTGCACATGCCACAGGAGAACCCCAAGCCTGGGTATATGCTGGGTACAGACTGGATAGGAAGCAGTTTTGCTGGAAAGGAGCCAGAAGTCTTGTGGATAAGTAGCTGAAAACAGGTCAGCAGTGTGCCCTTGTGTTGTATTAGGCCAACTGCACCCTGGTTTGAGTGTATCCTGCAGACTGGAAGAAGTAATCATCCCTCTTTATTTGGCATGAGAAACTGCATCTGGAGTACTGTCTAGTTTGGAGCTCCCCAATACAATAAAAACATTGTCATACTGGAATAAGTCCAGTGGGGAGTTACCAAGGTACTAGAGCACATGATGCCTGAGGGTAAGAGAACTGACCTTGTTCAGTGTTAAGAGCTGGTGGTGGAGGGAAATCTGATTGCTGTCAACTTCTAATATGAGGGTATAAATAAGATAGAGCTGGACTGTAAGGTATGGGGAAGTGAGCAGTGCTAAGTCAAGTGGTAATGGACACAATCTGTGATAAGAAATTCTTACTAGACTGAGGGGGGGGCAAGAAGGGATGACACAACTTGGGACAGGACAACAGCAAACAAAAAAATAACTTTGAGAGTAACAGAACTTAAAACAGGAGCCCAGAGAAGAATTTCCATTCTTGGAAATATACAAAGCTGAACTGGGCAAAGCTGAACTGGGCAAAGGTTGACCTTGCTTTGGATATGTGTTTGGACCAGATGGCGCCCAGAGGTCATTTACACTCTAAATTGTTCTATAAAGTTGTGCAAATAGACATTAATTGCTGCTTAGCAGCAGAAGTTAACTCACAGACAAATAGTTCAAGCTGCAGTCAGATTCAAAGTTCAAGGTGTAGTGAAATTATTCCAAAGTAGTGTTACTATGCCAAGAAGTATCAACTTGAATTCCTTAGTCTAAATTTGGACAACATGCGTTTTTAACTGAATAGACAGAAGTAGAATTAAAAAAAAAAAAAATTAAAGCTGCAAAGTTTGGCTTTGCTAAGTAGGAGATGTTTAAGATGAAGATGGAGAACCATTGCAGATGAGGATGCCTGCTGCAGACTAAGCTGGCCCCTAAGTCTGAGATTCTGACAAATTGGCAAGCTAGACTAAGAAACCCAAATCATGAGACACTGCAGATTGCATGGAAAATATTTCCGTCCTTAGTGCATTTCATGGCCAGTCCCTTCAAACTGAAGTATTTATTTTAGTCCTGAACTTTAAAAATCCAGTATTTTTGCTCAAAGAAGCAATAAAAATACCTCACCTTGCTCTCTGGAGAAAAGATATATAAATATAGACATACAATTACAAGCAGAAGAGCAGAAGTCTTAATGGTATTCACAAAGACAATGATAATTTATTTCATACTTGTCAAGCAATATTAATTAAAGCAACGCACACGATGTAATTATTTAGCAACTGTGTAAATAGCTTCAAAAATAAATTAGATTTCCTCTAATTTGCCAGGTATATTATTAAAGGTATGAAAGAAGAAAGAAAAGATTTTTTTTCAAAGGTATTTAAGGAAACTTTTATGTTGGAGGCTTACTGAACATTCTTCCAGTGTTTGGTATCCACAATGGCCAGACTGTGTAAAAAAAGAAGCCCGAATATGATCGGTGACAGACGAGCACAAAAGGAAAAAGGGCATGAAGAAAACAATAGGTCGAGACAAGCTTAATAATAATTCTTCACAGCTTAATAAGTCCCTTGAGGATTATTTCACAAATAGAAAACACAGGTGTATGACTACAGCAAGCCCCAGCTTGTCAGTAAATTCCTTCTAAATCAGATGAGTTATCATATCATTTATTGGACTATGAGCACATTATGATGGAATTTTTGACCAAGAATGCTATCCCTCAGAATTACTTCTTTGTGGAGAAACCGAGTAGAAATTTGTTTTGACAAAGCTATTTATATCACACCAGTCTGTGGGCATTTGCCACAAGTATTATTTTATTTATCTAATCTCTTTCTCACCTGTTTTACAGGAGCACATACAGTCATATATTGTATAAAAGAGAATGAGCATTAAGCTACTACTGATTGTATATTTGGAGCAAAGGTCTTATATGACTGCTATAAACAGAACTAATCCAACGCCTACTCACCAGAAAGTCTTCATTCACTTCCTGGTAACAGTTCAATATGCCTGTTGCACTTGCAATTTATACGTATTACTTTTACCTTCAAATAGTACTAGACAGGCTTTTTTCTTTTTTTGTTTTGGTTTGGGGTTTTTTGTTGGGATTTTGTTGTTGTTGGGGTAGGGTTTTTTGGTTTGTTGTTTTTCTGGTTTGTTTTTCTCATTTGTTTTTTGTTTTGTTTTTTGTTGTTGTTGTTTTGGGGTGTTTTTTTGATTGTTTGTTTGGTCGGTTGGTTTGCTTTGGGGTTTTTTTACGTATTTTTTATTTCGTTATTTTTAAAGACATAGAACGTAAGAAGGGATCTGGCTGCCTACAATAAGCAACTCAGGAAGCAACGACAAAAGGCAGACAATATCCATAAGGGTCTCCTGTCTGCCTAACTAAACAAAATACATGGATGCATTTGTATACAGACGATATCAGCTACCACAAACAGTTGCACTCTGTTGCCTTCCCACCTGCCATTAACTCACGCAGAATGACTTCTTTTTTTAACTTACACAGTGTGGCTGATATCATTCAGCTGATTATTCCCATCCTCAAGTGCAGGAGTAAAGGGCTCACATCGTTTCCATCCATCTTCTGTTTTAACCCATCTCCATCCGGGGGATCTCCAGTCTTGGCCCAAAAATGGCATGGTTTCTCTATAAGCAGCAAGAAGAGATTCCTTGTGTATTATTTATTAATAAAAGTTGCAAAACTTCTTGCCATTATTTCAGTTTTCTGTTTAACCTTAAAAAAAATATACCTTGATGAAAGTGCTCTGTAGAGTATCCTTTAAAGAAACAGATTCAGTGGTTTAAGTATATTTTTTATTCTCTAACCTCATTCTTCTTGTCTTTAAGCATTTATTAGATCAAGGTAGGTTTCCTACCTAGTTCTTTAGAGAACAGGAAAAGAATGGTAGTCCAGGAAAAAAATTATTCCAAAAGAAGCAAACTTGTATCCTGTGTAATCTGCTCTGCCATGATCAAACAGATTACTGATTTTTTTACATGATTAATAAATGGTTGTTAAAGAGATTGAGAGCCCACAAATTCAATGTTGATCCTTTTTTTTTTTCTAAGGCTTATATATACTGAGTTTGTGCTACACTGTGTAGTGATGTTTCAGTAAGGGAATTTTCATTTTCCCAAACATTTTTTCACTTGTTGTTGAAGGTCACCTCCCACACCAGGCTATTGACCAGATACCAGCACAAAAGAAGACTGCAACATAAAGTCCATTGTGATATGTCTCCCAAAAATCTCTACAAACAGATGCAAGGTATGTCATTCAAACAGTGTTCTGCTACGTTTTTTCAAGAGTGAGATTCACTTCTGACACATTAAGAATGTGAACAAAGCAGTTTTCTATACTTTGAAGAGTATGACCTTGCCAGCTTTTGCCATCTTCCCATTAGTCACACAAACATGTTGCTCCTTAGTTTAGCAAGGGATTTCACATGCAGGCTATAGAGGAAAGGTAACATTATCATATTTGAAACAATGTCAATATGTAATACAAACAGCTTTGGCCCTAACCAGTATGCATTTTCTAATACTTTTCCAAAGTGAAAAAAATATTAGGCCAGATCAGTCAAGCATCACTTTGAATTTATTTACCCATTTGCACTCTTGACCAGCATCTGCCCAATATATTAGTTACAACAGGAGAGGGCACAGGCACATAAAAAGCCAGAAGAAATACAAACTGAGTAAGCCAGCTGAGTTTTTCTGTAATTAAAAATCTGTTCACTACACAAAACAAAGTGCATTGTCTAGGCCTCAGCACTGACTTAAGTCCCCTTCCTACTCATAACTCAGCCTTCCTCTGCATCTAACAAGAACCTTCTCCAAAATTTACCACATCCTTTCCCCCAGTTACCACAAACCCTATTCATGCCTATCTGCTTTTCCAATCCTTGTATTGCTTCCTAGGAGTAATATGAACACAACACACTTTTTTTCCAAGTTGTTTTCAACTCCCCTCACATTGACTGATCATAGAATGGTTTGGGTTGGAAACAACCTTAAAGATCACCTAGTTACAACCCCCCTGCCATGGGTATAGATACCTTCCGCTAGACCATGTTGCTCAAAGCCTCATCCAGCTTGGGCTTGAACACTGACAGGGATGGGATACCCACTACTCTGGGCAACCTGTGCTAGTGCCTCTTCACTCCCACAGTAAAGAATTTCTTACTAAAACCCAATCTAAACGTACCCTCTTTCAGTTTGATGCCATTCAAAACTGCCTCTCCAGCTATCTTGTAGCCCCCCCTCAACTACTGGAAGCCTGCCCTAAAGGTCTCCCCAGAGCCTTCTCTTCTCCTGGATGAACAATGCCACCTCTCAGCCTGCGTTCATAGCAGAGGTGCTCCAGTGCTCTGAGCATCTTCATGGCCCTCCTCTGGACTTACTCTAACAGACTGACATTCTTCTTATGCTGTGGGTCCCAGAGCTGGATACGACACTGCAGGTGGGGTATCAGGAGAGTGGAGTACAGGGGGAGAATCGCCTCCCCTGATCCACTGGCCACACTTCTTTTGATGCAGCCCAGAACACATTTGGCTTTCTGAGCTGCAAGTGTACTTTGCTGGCTCGTTGAGCTTCTTGTCAACCAACACCCCTGAGTCATTCTTAGGGCTGTTCTCAATCCACCCAGCCTGTATTTGTGCTTGGGACTGCCCCACCCAGCTGCAGGACCTTGCACTTGGCCTTGTTGAACTTCATGACATTCACACGGGCCCACCTCTGTCCTGTCAGGGTCTCTCTGGGTCACATCCCTTCTTTTCAGCATGTCAGCTGCACCACACAGCTTGTCATCCAAAAACTTGCTGAGTGTGCACTCAATCCCATTCTTCATGTCCGTGACAAGGGTGCTAAACAGTCCCAATATCAACCCCTGAGGAACATCGCTCATCACGAATCTCCACTTAGACATTGAGCCATTGACCTCAACTCTTTGAGTGCAAATATCCAGCCAATTCCTTACCCACTGAGTGATTCATTCATCAAATCCATGTCTCTCCAGCTTAGAGACAAGGAAGTTGTGTGGGACAGCATCAAATGCTTTTCACAAGTTCAGTTAGATGACATCAGTTGCTCTTCCCTCATCCACCAACGCTGTAACCCCACCGTAGAAGGCCACCAAATTTGTCAGGCATGATTTGCCCTTAGCAAAGCCACGCTGGCTCCGATCCTCACGCACCCTATTGAGATCCCAACACCTCACTCCTCCAGGCAGACTCCACACCCTTCGGTCCTGCCCCTTGCCCCAGGCCCATCAGCTCATCCTGACTCCAACAGCTAGTCCCAAACTCCTTCAGCTCCACATGCCCCTAAGAGCGAGTCCCCAACCCCCCAAGCCACGACTGTCCACGCTCAGCCTCAAAGCCCCGTGCCGGCGGGGCTCACACAGAGAGCCGAGCACCATTCCCGGCCGGGACCCCCTCACTCACCTCCCCTCCCAGCAGCGCCTCTCCCCGCCCGGCGCTCGGACCGGGCCCGGCGCTGTTTCCGGAAGTACCATGGGCCGCGCCGGGCCCGCCCACGCAGCGCTGATTGGTCCCCTCCTGCCGCGCCTGTTGCTACCCGGCAGCACGGGCCGCCATTGGCCGAGCGGGGCAGCTCTGGCCCCGCCCACCGCTGGCCCGGAGCGTCACGTGACCGGCGGGCGCGGCGCGCACGTGCCAATGTTTTGGTCGGCGGGGGCGGGTCGCGTGGCGCGCGCGGGGCGGGGCGTGCCTCGGGTGACTCCCCCCTGGGTGACCCCTGAGTGTGTGACGTCACCCCAGTGTGACCCCTCGGTGTAACCTGATGTACCCCAGTTTGACCCTTTCCCCCACTAGTGTGATTCCCCCCCCCCTCCCCCAGTATGATCCCACACCGGCGTGACCCCCCCAGGCTGACCGGTGTGCCTGGTGTGACACCCCCTCCCACCGCCTACAGTGTGACCACCCGATGTGACACGATGTGCTCCAGTGAGACTCCACCTCTGGCGTGATCTCTCCAGTGTGACCCTCCGGTATGCCTGGTGTGACCCCTCCCCGCTGTGACACCCCTTGCTGTGACCAGTGCGCCTTGCTGTGACCCCCTTCATGTGGTTCCTCCATGTGACCCCACCAGTATGACCCAGTGTGACCCTCCCAGTGAGACCCCCTCCCGGTGTGACCAGTGTGTCGCAGTGTGCTCTGGTGTGCCCCATGTACCCCCGGGTGATCTGCCGGTCTGTCCCTCTGTGCCCTGGGTGTGCTGGTGTGCCCGGAAAACAAAACTCATGGAGTACCTTGTTTAAACTTTAAGTCATTAATATGTGATTGTATAAACATTTCAGATTTCACTTAAAATCAGTCATTTCCCTCATATGAATGTAGAGAAGATTAAAAAATAGAAGGTCAAGGAACTAAAAAGAAAATTAAAATTGTGATTTCAAGCATGGTAATCAGTCTTAAATTTTATGCTGTAGAACATATGCTGTAGACTTTCAATTATCTGAATGCTTGGTATTGAGGATACTGCAATTACTGAAACTTGTCCCCTTCAGAAAGCATTCCCTAATCCTTTTGCCAGTCTTAGCCATAAGAAACTGGAGGTTTTGGTCTTATAAAATAATTTCAGCTCTGTAAGAGCACAGAATTAGGTGAAGGCTCGCATTGGAAGGACTTCTTTTCAGTCTTTGGTCTTGAAAAAATTACATGAGTACTTATTTTTTGCCTGAGATTCATTGTACTATCAGTATGTCACTTAATAATTAAACTACTGTTTTACAAATTGGATTCCTTTCTTGTAATGAAGAGAGAAAAAAATACAGTACCATAATCTTTTTCAAGACCCCGTTGTCCTGACATCTAAGACAAAGGTGCTGCCTTTGCATAGTAAAAGGCTATAGGCCACAGCCTCACATTGGAAAAGGATATAAGTCAATATTAATAGTTTTGTCACACTATCAGGAACTTGTAAAGCTCATTTTCCAGCCCATGAAAGGGTCATTTTTACTCTTTGGCATGGAAATCTACAAAATTACTTCATACTGTGGCAAAAATCCTTTTGTCTCTAGGTTCTTTCTATACTTTCTCTCTGCCTTTGAGGTATCCTGTCATGTGTGGACATACATGTGACCTCATAGCTCTGGTGAGGTTGATCCTTTAGGGCAGGTAGGATTTGAGTAGAAAAACATCATGAGTGAGGCATCTAATCCAAAAGTGATACAGTTCAGAAAAACTTATGCAGTTCTCTTGTGTTTACCTGAGGACTAAGCAGCACTAAAACCTTGAGAGACAGTAACCAGGGGATTGCTTCTTGAAAAAGTGCAGCCTTTTGAGAAGGACTTGCATTGGAGCAGTTTGCGGAGGACTTTGTCCTATGACAGGGACTCCATGCTGGAGCAGGGGAATAGCACGAGAAGGAAGGAGTGGCGTAGACTGTTACGAACTGACCCCAACCCCTGTTCCCCATCTCCCTGTGACACTTGTGCAGGGCAGGGGGGGGGAAGAAAAGTCAAGAACAAAGAGCGGAGTTGAGTTTGTGAAGAAAAGGGGATTTAGGAAAAGGTAGTTTTTGTTTTATTTTAGTTTCTCTCTCTCCTATTTTAAAAATACCCTACTTTTAATTCACAATAAATTAAAATAATTTTCCCCGAGTAGAGTCTGCTTTACCTGTGATGGTAATTGGTGAAAAATCTCTCTGTCCGTTTCTGGACCCATGAACTTTTTTGTCTTTTTTTTTCCCACCATCCTGCTGAAGGTGAAGAGTGAGAGAGCAGCAGGGTGGACACATGGCAGCCAGCCAAGGTCAAACCACCACACTTCCTTAATTATCATAGAATGGTTTGGGTTGAAAAGGATCTTTGAAGGTCATCTAGTTCCAACCCCCCCTGCCATGGGCAGGGACACCTTCCAGTAGACCAAGTTGCTCAAACCTCCATCCAGCCTGGCCTTGAACACCTCCAGGGATGGGGGATCCACAGCTTCTCTGGGAAGCCTGTTCCAGTGTCTCACCACCCTCACAGGGAAGAATTTCTTCCTAATATGTATCCTAAACTTACCCTTCTTCAGTTCAAGGCCATTCCCCCTTGTCCTATCACTACATGCCCTAGTAAAAAGCCCCTCTCTGGTTTTCTTGTAAATCCCCTTCAAGTATTGATAGGTGTAGAAAGTCTCCCTGAAGCCTCCTCCTGGCTGAACAACCCCAATTCTCTCAGCCTGTCTTCATGGGAGAGGTGCTCCAGCCCTCAGAGCATCTTTGTGGCCCTTCTCTGGACTTGCTGCATGTCCTTATTCTGGGGGTCCCCAGAGCTGGATGCAGCTCTCCAGGTGGGGTCTCATGAGAGAGGAGTTGAGAGGCACCTGCTGGTCATACCTGCTGGTATGAAGCCGATCTAGGGAATATTACCTGGGTGAATACCTCACACTTTAGGAAGGATACAATAGGGAAGGAGGATACAGAGAAAGTAATGTGTTTCCTGTAGCTTTTTTCTTTTTTTCTGATATAGGTTCTAGAAGGACAAGGATGAGTGTGCCTTCCCAGCTTGGGCAGTCACACTTTTTGACTTGTGCTTCAAATTTAATAAAATTATTAATAGCTAAGGTATGTAAGTAATTGGATTTTCTGTGACAACTCTCTTTCCTGCATATTCACTGCTACTCATGCCTAGCTATTACAATATTTCACCTGCTAGCTTCAGCATATTTATATTAATTATACAATAAAGGGAGCAGGGAGAATGTGATTTTTTAATTTTTTTTTTTTTTAGTACAGACCCACTTATTATAAGACTTAGTGTATATGAGGTTTCATTCCAAATGTCTAAAAATCTTGTGATATTCAACAAGCGGATGTAAAGTGGTTGTTGCCCATAGTTAGTACTGAGCCATCCTCTCTTGCAAGCCTAATTTTATATCTCTGTACTTCATAACCAAAATAGTTTTTCTATTTAATGTCTATGAAGTCATTTTTCTATTTAATGTTTATCATGCCTGTCCGTCTGCCTTTTTTTTAACAAAATATGATAAATTTTCAAATGAGCAAATTTAGAGATATTTCCCATGTATAGTTGCTATCTTGATAGTCCAAGCTCTGACCTATAAAAAATTCATCTATGACTGTGAAATTTATTTTAAAATATTTTTATTGATTCCAAGTATTTGTTAAGTATTCAAAGATGTATTTATTAAAAATGTACAAAAGAAAACATGTTGTTCACTTTGGGGGGATTTAAAACTCTAAAATAGCAAAATAGAATGTGGAAGCTTTTAAGACTATTCTACTCAACACAGAGCAGATCGAGCAGTTCTTGAATAATTTAATAATGATTGACACTGTTCTGTTTCAGACATTCTTCATAAAGTTCTATGGTAATTTTCTTATTCTGGTGTCACAGTCCTCCATTATGTTTTATTTAGTACTAAAACGGTTTAAACCTTTACAGCGGAAATCGAACAAACTGGTCTGCAGTGTGACTGTTAGTGTTTTTGATTGTTTTAGAAAGATGTAAAGTGAAAATTGCATTAAACCTTGATGAGTTTTGCCGCTGGGATAGTTACCCTTACTGCTGATTGCAGGTCCATGTGAGTGGCACAGATGAGACACTAGGTCACTGCCACGTTAACATGAAATTAGGATACCTAGATAAAATGGTAAATTCCATCTTTCCCATTTCTTTGCTACTAAATTACTTAATAGGATTTCTATTTAATAATTCACAGCAAAGGTGAGTTCTCTAAATGAGGTTGCACTGATGGGAAGCCAAGCTATTTTGCCTTTAAGTTACTTAGCTTGTAAGAGCTGAGACACATTATTAAAAAGCAAAATGAATGGTGTTATTTGGTGTAGCTAAGGATTACCTCATGGAGAAGGAAAAACAACTTTTCATGAATATTCATATTTCCTTAACTACCTGGTTTGGAAATATGCATTATTTTTATAGGAATCACTTTCAATTTTTTCTGAAAAATCATCTGAAAATGAGGGTTATGGTACATGCAAATGGCCTTCTTTCCTTTGGGAGAGTAGTTTTCATTTTGCTGAGTAATCTCTATACATATTTCAAAGAACAGAACAGTTCTGCCAAAGAATACCACATCCAGATTCAGTTACTTAGCAACATTTAATGCTAACAAAAAGAAACAGGAAAGTGATGCAGCAGCAATAAAATCATTAGATAGCAGAAGGGAGCTCATGGTAATAGTGAAGACAAAACTCATTTAATAAGTAAAATAAAAATGGAAAAGAACACATAATCCAAACAGTTGGCCTTTTCCCAAGGAGCCAGTTGCTTATAGTTTCATTTTTTCAGGAAAAAACTCACAACCTGTAAAAAACCCCCAACAACCCTTGGAGAAAAGCCTCAGTGTCCTAAATATTACTTAATGTGTGGTTTTCAGTGTATTACACAGTTCTTCAGAAGTTTCTTTTGTGGTTGGCATAGTTTTTTCCTAAATATTTATCATCAGCACTGTCAAAACGAGGTAATACTGCTCCTCTTCCTTCATTAGGTTTATTACTCTCCTCAATATGAGAAGATAAATATTTAAG